CTCCTTATAAATATCATATACTTGCTTTCACATGACGTTCTGTACTAAATGCGGTCACGAATAGAAATTTGCAAAGTGTGAACAAATAACATCAAATGTGACACAGTTTCCGAAAATGACACATGAATCTGTCATTAAGGATATAAATGAGTATTTTTGTCAGACTTGCGTGATGTTGTGTGGAATGGATGTACAGACATCTCGTATGGACAGAAGGGAGAGCATACCTAATATCATGGCAGTGCGTTAAAACACTTGGAATAATCTTGAAAGGCCAGACAAAAATAAAAGCCAAACAAAAGCCATACTTTTGGTGACTTATGCAAAACATATTTAAAAGTCAATTTCAATCAATCACACCCACACGCCCTCCCGTTTACACCGAACTTCATTAATTGTGTAATATGATTAATTAATGTAAGTAAAATATGAAGTTTGTAGTATGCAGAAGAAATTACCCTATTTTCATGAATGAAATCATTATTTCCCATTAAAAGTCAAGATTAAAGTAAATTTATTCAAGTTTTTCAAAAGTACATTTTTACAAACAAATCAAAGTTTAATGAAAGTATGTTACAATTTATGTCTTCTTCATGCAAGTATATGCTTCTTTGATGACCAATGGGATAAAATGTGTAAAAATAGGCCTGATTGAATTCCTACACAGAGTTATGGAAATTGAATAGGAACACATCAATGATACGTGTGGTAATACATATACTCAATAGGAACACATCAATGATACCTGTGGTAATACATATACTCAATAGGAACACATCAATGATACGTGTGGTAATACATAAACTCAATAGGACCACATCAATGATACGTGTGGTAATACATATACTCAATAGGGACACATCAATGATACGTGTGGTAATACATATACTCAATAGGAACACATCAATGAAGCTGTGGTAATACATATACTCAATAGGAACACATCAATGATACCTGTGGTAATACATATACTCAATAGGAACACATCAATGATAGGTGTGGTAATACATATACTCAATAGGAACACATCAATGATATCGTGTGGTAATACATATACTCAATAGGAACACATCAATGATACGTGTGGTAATACATATACTCAATAGGAACACATCAATGATATCGTGTGGTAATACATATACTCAATAGGAACACATCAATGATATCGTGTGGTAATACATATACTCAATAGGAACACATCAATGATACCTGTGGTAATACATATACTCAATAGGAACACATCAATGATACCTGTGGTAATACATATACTCAATAGGAACACATCAATGAAACCTGTGGTAATACATATACTCAATAGGAACACATCAATGATACCTGTGGTAATACATATACTCAATAGGAACACATCAATGAAACCTGTGGTAATACATATACTCAATAGGAACACATCAATGATACGTGTGGTAATACATATACTCAATAGGAACACATCAATGATATCGTGTGGTAATACATATACTCAATAGGAACACATCAATGATATCGTGTGGTAATACATATACTCAATAGGAACACATCAATGAAACCTGTGGTAATACATATACTCAATAGGAACACATCAATGATACCTGTGGTAATACATATACTCAATAGGAACACATCAATGATACGTGTGGTAATACATATACTCAATAGGAACACATCAATGATACCTGTGGTAATACATATACTCAATAGGAACACATCAATGATATCGTGTGGTAATACATATACTCAATAGGAACACATCAATGAAACCTGTGGTAATACATATACTCAATAGGAACACATCAATGAAACCTGTGGTAATACATATACTCAATAGGAACACATCAATGAAACCTGTGGTAATACATATACTCAATAGGAACACATCAATGATACCTGTGGTAATACATATACTCAATAGGAACACATCAATGATACCTGTGGTAATACATATACTCAATAGGAACACATCAATGATACCTGTGGTAATACATATACTCAATAGGAACACATCAATGATACCTGTGGTAATACATATACTCAATAGGAACACATCAATGATACCTGTGGTAATACATATACTCAATAGGAACACATCAATGAAACCTGTGGTAATACATATACTCAATAGGAACACATCAATGATACCTGTGGTACTACATATACTCAATAGGAACACATCAATGATATCGTGTGATAATACATATACTCAATAGGAACACATCAATGATACCTGTGATAATACATATACTCAATAGGAACACATCAATGATACCTGTGGTAATACATATACTCAATAGGAACACATCAATGATACCTGTGGTAATACATATACTCAATAGGAACACATCAATGATATCGTGTGGTAATACATATACTCAATAGGAACACATCAATGATACCTGTGGTAATACATATACTCAATAGGAACACATCAATGATATCGTGTGGTAATACATATACTCAATAGGAACACATCAATGAAACCTGTGGTAATACATATACTCAATAGGAACACATCAATGATACCTGTGGTAATACATATACTCAATAGGAACACATCAATGATATCGTGTGGTAATACATATACTCAATAGGAACACATCAATGATACGTGTGGTAATACATATACTCAATAGGAACACATCAATGATACCTGTGGTAATACATATACTCAATAGGAACACATCAATGATACCTGTGGTAATACATATACTCAATAGGAACACATCAATGATATTGTGTGGTAATACATATACTCAATAGGAACACATCAATGATACCTGTGGTAATACATATACTCAATAGGAACACATCAATGATACCTGTGGTAATACATATACTCAATAGGAACACATCAATGATACCTGTGGTAAAACATATACTCAATAGGAACACATCAATGATACCTGTGGTAATACATATACTCAATAGGAACACATCAATGATACCTGTGGTAATACATATACTCAATAGGAACACATCAATGAAACCTGTGGTAATACATATACTCAATAGGAACACATCAATGAAACCTGTGGTAATACATATACTCAATAGGAACACATCAATGATATCGTGTGGTAATACATATACTCAATAGGAACACATCAATGAAACCTGTGGTAATACATATACTCCATAGGAACACATCAATGATATCGTATCAAATAAAATAAAAATCTTGTTTGTTTAATTTCTAGCCACCATCAAACATGGTGTATAATTTCTTTTGTCCGACAGTTAATCTGTAATTCCATAGCGAAATGTTTATCCTTTAACTTTATTCTTACAAATTTCAGTTTAGTATACTGTGGATGGTGACATTATTTTATGCGCAATCAGACTATAACTGTATTTAACAACGACACTGTCGAGTTGTGGTAATACATTCTCAATGGTAAGACATTCCTTCTTCTACACATTCCCTTCCAATCATCTTGTTCGGACAACCTCTCATGGCTTCATGTTGTATTATAGGTCGTGCACACTCCATCCGACAGCATGTTACCGGTCCCGACACAAACACATGCTTGAATACATGTCTGGCGTTAACTTCCGTTAGGTGAAGGGGACATAACTCTTAGTGTCTTATGTCCTATTACCTATTACTCAATGTACATTTCCACCATGTTGTTTATGAGTTCGAACCCCTTTCAAAACATATACAACACATACTTTTTTTTCAGTGACTTACCACATGCCCACGTTCTACATGCCAGCGTTCATCTAATCCTGTCGAGCACTGCCGCGTGAAGTAAATACACAAAGGTTTTTTTCTCTTGTTTTAGCAGTGACCTGTCTGTGTGTGTTTGTTAATCTGTGTTGTCATTACTAACGCTACTTTCTCATGGTATCATCACAATTCCGTGCGATAAACAATTTGGTTTATCCCTATAATGTCGAGCTCCATGTAGGATAACATCTTTTAGAGTACTTTGGTCTGACACTGCCGGGTATCAAACCACCTACCTGCCGCTCTCCGGGCAGACACACTATCCACTAGACCACGGAGGCTGCCCCGTAGTAATGTATAGGCTATTCATGTAACTGCAGTCGCATTAAACCTCAAACATGAAAGGTAGTTATTGAGTGCACATAGCAAACGCTGCTTAATCCGAAACGTCATACCAAAAGACATTTACAAAATAAATGGCACTTGTCGTTTCCTGTTGGGCGCTCGGCATTAAGCTGTTAGAACAAGAACTGGTCGGCTGGGAGTCAGTATACTGTGTCTCAGTGGGGTACCCACAGCATGGTATCAAGACGTGTCAGTTTAATGTGGGAGGAAAGCCCGAAATAATGCAGGTCTCAGACGTTTACCAATTTGACAAAACACTGAGCACGGGTGTGGTGCTGACAAACATAGAAACATAATTGGGATTAGTTATCTAAACTATGAGTCAAGACTGTCCAGCACCTTACCCCTGCAGACGGGGGCGGGGGGACAAATGGTGGGTGTAGAAAATGGGAGGGAACCGTCAGCACCAGATCCGTGCCCGCGTGTATCACCATACGTCAGTATAAATTCCCCGAAATGTAAAACAAAACGTCCCAATTTATTTGACTTATTTTATGGTATCACTTGTCAGAGGTGATTTATAATTTGCTGATTAGAGGATCAATAACGTGAGTGAGTGAGTGGTTTCTACGTTGCTTTTTGCAACATCCCAGCAATATCCCATCGGGTGATGCCAGGAATTGGTTTCACTCACTGTACCCTATGGGGAATCGAACCCGGACCTCATGCGTGACTAGCGAATGCTTTAAACACTAGGCTACCCCGACGCACCTTCCAATAACTTCAAATAGACTACATTCTTATACAATGTTAAAATGCATCTGCATTTTGAAAAAACATCGGAATATAAAAAAATATGTTTAATTTCGATCAAAAAGACATTTTTTCTAAAGTTTCATGTCATGGGTACTTCTTTTGGAATTGTAAATATATCCCGTATTGAACTTTCAAACGTGCACCGGAAAAAGCTGAAACATTTTTGACTACGGGATAACTTTCATGCTATCTTTATTTCATATGTTGACATAATGAGAGCTAACTTCATACAATCTGAAGACGTTTTGTTACAGTGTAGTCTGTGCCCTTCAGGTTGGAGATGTGGCGTTTCCTGAGCAGAGTGTTGCACTTCCAGTTGCACGCGGACGTGGCGTCCCCTGGAGTACAGAACTTGACGTCACAAGAGAGATAGACCGTGCTGTACCCTGCGTAGAACTCGAATGCCTTGAAGTGGAACAGTGTGGTGGTAGGGTTCTCGTACACTACGTGGGTTTCCTTGTCAGACGAGCACCTGCAATGTTCAACAACTAGTAGTGTTATGTCTGGCAGATTCAGCCTTCAGATGGCAGGGTTTGTTAGAACTTTTAGAACAGAATATGAATCACTTAAGAAATCATTTTAACCTTACAGATCATAATGAAAATAAACGGACGTGTTCATGACAACACTAAACGTACAGTTAAGGCTAAAATGTGTCAAAAAAGCTGATTGTAGAGCTTTCAGGTATTCTACTGAGTTTTCTTTCGACATATCTGACCAAATATTAGGTCTTCAACGTCAAAAATAGTATAAATATTATCCAACTTACCCGTTTCGCACCAAAGCGTATGATATGGTGGAGTTGGGATCTGGCTTGCCAACACAGCTCTGTATCCTCATTGAGACGTTCCAGTTGCCCTTTAGGTTGACCTTGACATAAAGGTCATCTCCGAGCTTTGCTCTGATTGGATCAAAGCTCATCTCGTTACGAAGCGTGGAGTCGTTGTACAGGTGGATTTCGGCTGAGTAGTCGGATGACAGATTCCGGAAGTAGTTGAACTCGTTTTTGACACTGTACTGCTGGTTTATCTGAAGAAATGGGAGAGAAGGGAGCACTTTGAGAAGTCAATACTACAGCTCTTCGTGTCAAAGTCGCATTTCATTGAGACAAGTATCCAGTTCTTGTGAGAATCCGTCAGCCGGATGATGATCTCGACAGCCTCTACTATTGTTAGGGGCGGTCGGGTAGCCGAGTGGTTTAAGCGTTCGCTCGTCACGCCGAAGACCCGGGTTCGATTCCCGACATGGGTACAATGTGTGAAGCCCATTTCTGGTGTCCCCCGCCACGATATTGCTTAAATATTGCTAAGAGCGGCATTAAACTATACTCACTCACTCTACTATTGTTAAAACCGTGCATATCCTCCAAGTCATGCGTAGATTCTTTTATTTGCATGTTATGGCGTCACGCACATTTTTTAAGGCACGACTGTGTTTGGCAGAAATCGTAGAGTTCCGTACGTAATGTACTAAATCCCGAGTAAGGTATGTGCCGAAATAGCGCCAACGTCACAGCGTCAGACATTGTGTTCAGAACGCAAGGACAGGGGATTCGTTTGAGGATTTTGTGACATTAATGTGTGGGAAGAAACATTGTAAGGACCACGTGGATCATATTGAGGAACGAGGAAGGCCTCGACATTGCTAGTGACTCCCCGAATGATAGGCGACTTTTCAAGTTTTTAAAATTTAGTGCTTTGAAAAGAGAAACATAAGAAATTCAATATATTTTCACAAACACGTTTTTGTTATGAAAAACAACACACACATACACACGCACATACTCACACATATATACACATCCATACACACATACACACAAATACACGTAAGCACACATATACACACATACATACACACAAACCGACATATATACACAAACATATACACACTTACATATACACAAACACACATATAAACACACATACACACACGCGCACACATACACACACACACACACACACACACACACACACCAAGACTGCACGACACTGACCTTCCTCTCCCTGATAAAGGCGCACTCCATATCCACTCTCCAGCGGTGCTCTCTGACGATTGGACCACTACCAATTTCCTTGTAGATTAGGGCGTTGCGGTACGTGACGTACGTCGGGTCGATCTGCAGAAATACTACTCATGCTACTCTACGTCTCATATCTTTTTCACTTTCTGATCTCAAGTGTTCAGCAAAATATAAACGCTGCGTGAAGTCAAATGACCAGACCTAAACACATTTTAGTGCTTACAGACAGCAGAGATACGGGTGACGGACAACGCGCAGGTATAATCATTTGAATTCAACCAGTTGAGACCAGACACGTGTCTTCATCTCATTGGTCAACGTACAGCGGAGGCATACATGGAGCTTATTCTCACTTTGCTGAGCGTACTTGCTGGACGCTGCAGCTTTCAACGCCGGTAATGTGACCGTTTTCTTTATGGCATTAAACTGTTCTGTGTAAGATTACCTCTAATGGGAGAACAACCGCGTGTAATAACTTGTATATATGTACACATGTGCATTTTAGCTATTCTCGTTGGTCAAACGTGATTGATCATTTGAACCCATATGACGTCACATTCCTTCATTGTTGCGAAGAATATGATACTACGTGATCCATTGTTCATGACGTCACGTATTGATAACATTACATCATTTAAACAACAGGTTGACGCTAATGACGTTTCTCTGCAGGGATTATAGTCTTTTCTTTCTTGAAAAGAGTGAGTGAGTGATTGGGTTTAACGCCGCTTTTAACAGTATTCCAGTTATATCACGGCGTGTCAGCTTAATGTGGGAGGAAAGCCCGAAGTGATGCAGGTCTCAGACGTTTACCACTTCGGTGAAACCCACAAGCACGGGTATGGTGCTGACAAACCTAGAAACATAATCGGGGCGAACCGGGATTCGAACCCACAATCATAGGTTTCTGGCGTGTCCAAGGGACGCAACTCTGCACAGCGAATCGCGGCGCCTTAGACGACTGGGCCACCCGTGCCCCCTTTTCTTGAAAAGACGAGGGACAATATACAGAATAGCCTACTCTATACACTGAAATTAGGATTATCTCTCCCTCGTGAATGATTGATGAATGATGATTACGCCCCTTGCCTTGGTTGTCCCCATTCCCTCTTTTTTACGGACAGGTACTTTGTAATTACTCATACTCGTTGATAATTCTCTAAATAGTTTTGCATGAACATTGCTAAAAAGTATTTAACATTTCAAACAAGTTTAACTAATTCCCCACTTACCGCCCTATTAGTGTAGCACTGAGAGTGGGGGTTATTGATGCTCCACGTGTCTCCAGCATAAGATCCCGTGCAACCCTCGTTAACCAGCGAGATGTAGGCGGGATTTGTGTCCGGGTACAGCCATCTTAGCTGCGTGATGTTGACTTTAATGTCCATGGCGGCGTCGGTGCAGGTCAAGGACACCGTACTCTCTATGGTGACAGCTGTAGTAGCCAGTGGATCAAATGGCTTGGGTTATTATTATTATTAGTAGTAGTAGTAGTAGTAGTAGCAGTAGTAGCTACGGTGCCTTTGTCCCCTCCACACCTTTGACCCCTCCGCGTGCAGCCCAGATAGTAAAGGGAACTTGTCGAACCCACTAAGAACTTTCCTAAAGATACGTAGACTCCCCAACACTGCATCCTCCTGTATTGCCTGTATTGTCAGAAAGTCTGTATTCTCAATGGAAAGCCGGTCATTCTCCCGATCTGTGCTTACTTATGATTGACTCTCCAACACCCCAGCCTCCTGCACTACCCAGATTGTCAGAAGGGCTGTATTCCTGGTAGCAAACCCGGGTTCTATCAAAATGTCAGTCAACAGATTTGGAGGCGCCAAACCGAAGGCACAGAGACCAATGGGGAGACGGAGAACTTGGTACATGGGGTGCAAGCGTGACATTTCGATAGCGAGGTCCGCATATTTGCCATGTTTTTTTACTGAATCTTGTCAATCACATTGGTGTCAATGACTCTTCCCCCAAGTAAAGTGATTGATCTTCTACCTTGCGACATTTCAGATGAAGAATGTTGCATTTGTCGAGTCAAAAGGACATGCCGATAAGGACTCGTCAAGGAGAATTTTCTTTTTAAGCGAGTCCATTGGCAATAAATTCAAGTTCACCTATATAAAGGAGGTGAGTAAGGGGTGTTTAGGATCTGTGCTGAGGAGATCCAGGATGATAACCTTCCTCCTTGCTAAGCAAAATGCTTAAAGGATTTAGTGACAAACAGAAAAACAAAGGACGTAATGAATCGCCCTGAGATATTCCTCTTCTGAAAGAAATGGGTACCGAAGTCACCGCCTGCTCCCGCGAATACATCACAATTTGAGTTGACCAGCAATTCATAAAAGACTTGAGTAAAACGAGTAGTCGGTCAGGGAGGTCAATACATTCCAGTGACTTCAAAATCCATTCATAAGATACTTAGTCACATCGCAATATTTCAGCCATATCGTGACTACATCTCAGACGTGCACGATAATCCTCGAGAACACAAAGATGTACCCTTACCTTCCCATCTTACGTAAAACATCCTTGAGCCACAACACTGCGATCTGAACCTAATGTAAACGTCCTTGTTGAAGAGGTGTTCTCCTGGCGTGGCGCCGCCTTTGTAGACGGCAAGAGGCGCTGACAGGGGGTCCTCCTTGATCTGAGGAACAGGAAAACAGTATTACTATTGTAGAATCTAGCTAGAAACGGGACCCGTGAACATCAGGGGTAGGATAGGTCTTCAGAAACCCATTCTTGCCGTAAAGGGCGACTATGCTTGTCGTAGGAGGCGACTAACGGGATCGGGTGGTCAGGCTCGGTGACTTGGTTGATGCATGTCATCGATCCCAATTGCGTAAATCGATGCTCATGATGTCCATCACTGGATTGTCTGGTCCAGACTCAATTATGTACAGGCCACCGTCATATAGCTGGAATATTGCTGAGTTATACCTTGGCAGAGACGTGTTATTATGTTTGTTTATTTCTTAAAGCTGCACTCGGCAATATCCAAGCTATTTTGTTGTTGGTTTATTGCTTTAATCCGCACTCAGCAATATCCCAGCTAGTGTTTTGTTTGTTTGTTGCTTAAAGCTGCACTCAGCAATATTCCAACTATTTGTTTGTTAGCTTGTTGCTTAAAGCCGCTCTCAGCAATATTACAGCCATTTGTTTGTTTGTTAGTTGCTTTTAGCCGCATTCAGCAATATTGCAGCCATTTGTTTGATTGCTTGCTTGCTGCTTGAAGCCACACTCAGCAATATTCCAGCTATTTGTTTGTTTGCCTGCTGCTTAAAAGCGCACTCAGCAATATTCAAACTATTTGTTTGTTTGCTTGTTGCTTAAAGCCTCACTCAGCAATATTGCAGCCAATTGTTTGTTTGTTAGTTGCTTTAAGCCGCACTCATCAATATCCATCATGACATCATGAACATCGATCTACGCAATTGTCATTTATAGGCGGACTATTCTAGGGGACCGACTATTTGATCTTCGGAGGTATGTGGGTGGGTGGGTGGGTGGGTGTGGGGAAGGGGCTGTACTTTTGATCATGAATATATTCTTTTATTTAAAACTATGATCTCTTTTTTATAGAAAAACAACTTGCAACAATATAAATCTTGTTTTTTCAAGAATTACTTTTTTCGTTAATCGTGTAATAGTGCTGAGTACTGCGTTAAACAACCAACAATGTCCACCTGGAGCATCCAGGTCGTCTGTACTGTACCTCAACCAGGTCATTAGCCGACAGTCTGAAATTAGTAAACCACAGCTTGTAGCGCTTGGCGGAACCCTGTGGGCTGATGTGGTACAGACAGTCAATGTTGTTAGAGGCGCTGCCTGGGTACCCGGGAGAGGGGATGCTGCCTGAGTCCGATCTGTAGGTGTCGCCACAAGCTGAGGAGAAAAGACCACAGTATAATCAAGATTGATACGAGTGTGTGGGGTGGATGTACGTGGCTACATACATGAGGCCGGTGCATCGCTCAGCACCAGTGAAGATCCGGGTTGGAATAGGTCTTCAGCAACCCATGCTTGCCGTGAGAAGAGACTATGCTTGTCGTGAAAGGCGACTTACGAGATCGGGTGGTCAGCCAATAAGTCATCTCTTACAAGACTGGCCGCCTCCGTGGTCTAGTGGTAGAGCGTCCGCCCGGAGAGCGGAAGGTCCGGGGTTCGATCCCCGGCCGCGTCATACCAAAAGACGTTAACAGATGGTACTTGCTGTTACCTTGTCTGGCGCTCGGCATTAAGGGGCTAAAACAAGGACTGGTCAGCTCGGAGTCAGTATACTGTGTCTGAGTAGGGTATTCATGTTAAACTGCGGCATGGTATCTCAGTGAGCTAGCACTATAAATCGGCATCAGTCCGGACTAGTACAAGCAGCCACACAAACTCACACTCGTACATGCACGTCGCTATATGTGCAATAATCTTGGACGCGACGTCAAACCCCATTTCACCTCACCTCCTCTCTTACAAGACTAAAATTGTAAGCCGACATGACGAGATATACGGGTTACTTTCTTGACCTCATGTGCAATCACCTGTGGAGATAACGGGACCCCGGTAGCAAACAGAATCGGGCTAAAGGGAAGCACGGGTTTAAGACGTTTACCTCTTTGGGGATACCCGTGAACGCACTTAGAAACATAATCGGTCTGGATGTTGGATTCGAACCCGAGATGATAGGTTTCTGGTACGCATTATGGCGCAGTTCTACACAACGAAGTAAGGTGCCTAAGAGGGCTGAGCCAACCATGCAATCGAAGCATCAGTACAAGCACATAACACAGTTAGGGCACGGGTCGCCTAGTCGTCTAAGGCACCGCGAGTTGCGTCCCTTGGGCACACCACAAACCTATGATTGTGGGTTCGCATCCCTGTTCGCCCCGATTATGTTTGTAGGTTTGTCAGCACCATACCGAAGTGGTTAACGTCTGAGACCTGCATCAATTCGGGCTTTCCTCCCACATTAAGCTGATACGCCGCGATGTAACTGGAATAATGTTAAAAGCGGCGTTAAACCCAACTCATTCACACATAATAAAGTGAGGTAGCGAGTATGGTTTTACTCCGCTTTTAGCAATATTCCAGCAGTATCACGGCGGTATCACACATTGTACCCTTGTGGGGAACCGAACCCGGGTCTAAGGTGTGACGAGAAACGCTTTAACCACTCGGCTGCCCTACCTCCACACACAACACGGTCTCTTAACACCATAACGACTCACTGAAACATCGGATAGCAGCATGGATGGACTTAGTGTTGACGACCGGAGCAGAGATGGTGCACTGGGATATGTGTTGCCTGGCACCCGAGCACACTAAAGTCGAGATGGTACTGTTGGTGCCCCTCCCGAACGTGTTGCCAGGTAACACCTGCGGCTTTGTGTTCCTGAAAAAAATAACATTCTCAGCACATGGTTATCTTGTCTTTAATAAGAATCTATCATGTATTTGTTTCATTTACGACATCTATGAAACCCCCAGGGCTGAAAATGAAACGTTCCATGTTTGATTCCTGCAATGGTTCTCTTATAGATGACCGGGGAATTCCGATGGCCGCCATATTACAAGATTGATTTCTGCCCATTACACGAATAAAATAACATGACTATTTTTTTAGATAGGTAAGCTGTTTTGTAATGTCAAAGGTTACTTTAACATATTCTGGGCTGGGCTGTTTTTCTAGAAAAAAAAGAATATTGTTCAAAAAAAATGTTTTTATTTTATTATCGGTTCACCGAACGTGCTGGCTGTACCAAAGAAGGGTGTTGCAAGGCAGGACATGCTTACTCATGTCAACACCTGTTGTCATCACGGATTTTCATTGATCTATTAATTTAATTTCAGCACCATTTGGCCCTTTAAGCCCAGTGGAATATGTTTCGGCAGATAATCGAGACTGGTTATTCTCTGGCGTTGAATTTTACATTTGTGAAAAATATTGTTCTGCTCCTGCTTGAAGAGAGAAAAATGAATGTCGGTAATAGGTTATCGAAAAACTATTGTTTCTAAAATAATTGCCGGTCCCCCAATGATGTGTCCTCACTGATATCCAACAGAAGCACAGAGGGCCGAGGCTTCTTCAGTCTGCACGGACTTGTTGTCAACAGTCGCCCAGGTTCCAGACTGAAGGACCTCCACAAGACCCCCCAGAGGCTTCGTGCCACCCGTCAGCTGGACTTTGATGCCTCCTGGAACCAACACAGAAATGCAAGGATGGATGGATTAGTTGAAGAAGAATACATGCAGTAAGCAATGAGGTTCCATGCAGGAACTAAATGTACTGTGCCTATTGCCTGTATCCTGGGCTTATGGCTACACCCTTGAATAAGAAGACTTTATAAATAAGCTGCGTACGTCGATTTAATGCCTCCTTGTTCTATTTACTATTACCTGACATTACCAACAGGTTTCGACCTGTGCTTCCCGAACTGTCTATGTGTGTGTGCTTGTCTTTGTGTGTAAGTAAGTGCGTATGTTTGTGTGTGTGTGTGTGTGTGCATAGTGTGTGTGTGTGTGTGTGTGTGTGTGTGTGTGTGTGTGTGTGTGTGTGTGTGTGTGTGTGTGTGTGTGTGTGTGTGTGTGTGTGTGTGTGTCCAGGTCCAGCCGTCATTATCAGTGTATTAAACGCACAGCTTTATGGATAAGAACTTCTGGTATATAACGACCTATTAGAGCAGCCAAGCAAACCAGATGTCGATAGCGTGATCACCATTGATTGAACACCATTATGTTTCGAATAAAAGTGACAAAAAATTGCAATTTAGTTGAATAAAAGTGACAAAACTCGACGATTTCAGGCGACCCTTGCGATCCATATGAGACACTGAGTATGTTTTCTTCTATTAAGAGACTTAATCTCACTAAACCTTTCTAGGACTGAATATCCTAGTTCCTCTGCAGGGTTAAAGTGAGCTGAACTTTCACGAGCTAACAAGGCCTTAATGTACTGTTTGCGGGTGTCCTATTTACCTGAGCAGTCTAGAGCAGCAGTGGTGGGGGGGAACGCGCCACAGTCATAACTGTGTCTCATCCAGTAGCCCAGGCACTGGGCCAGGTTCGTCTCGTTGCCGTGACACGTCAGGCGGTTCAGGAGAACACGTGTACTTCCCTCGGGCATCGCACTCATCACCGCTCCGCCGTACCTGACACATGGGAACATACTCATGGGAATAAATAACGGATCATCGGACCAGACACGTGTACTTCCCTCGGGCATCGCTCTCATCACCACTCCGCCGTACCTGACACATGGGAACATACTCATGGGAATAAATAACGGAACATCGGACCAGACACGTGTACTTCCCTCGGGCATCGCTCTCATCACCACTCCGCCGTACCTGACACATGGGAACATACTCATGGGAATAAATAACGGAACATCGGACCAGACACGTCTACTTCCCTCGGGCATCGCTCTCATCACCACTCCGCCGTACCTGACACATGGGAACATACTCATGGGAATAAATAACGGAACATCGGACCAGACACGTCTACTTCCCTCGGGCATCGCTCTCATCACCACTCCGCCGTACCTGACACATGGGAACATACTCATGGGAATAAATAACGGAACATCGGACCAGACACGTCTACTTCCCTCGGGCATCGCACTCATCACCACTCCGCCGTACCTGACACATGGGAACATACTCATGGGAAGAAATAACGGAACATCGGACCAGACACGTGTACCTCCCTCGGGCATCGCTCCCATCACCACTCCGCAAAAAAAATTATGTTTTGTTTGTTTGTTGTTTTAACGCCGCAATGATCCAGCTCTTTGACTACCAGACAATCTGATGATTAATATTACGAGCAACAACGTACGCTAGCGGAGATAATAACATTAATCGACCACGTCGTCCATCCGACCGATCTGATCCACTAGTCGCCTTGAGCAACGAGCGCATGTTGTCGGGGATCTATTCTATCCATGAATCCCCACTTGAGTAAAAGAGCTTATGAGGGGGGAACGTGACAATGTTAACAATATGCACAACTCACGACTATATTCTGTGACATGTATACACCGAAACCCTTCTACCCCGACCGGCCACTAGAACGTCAGAACTATGCTCTTGTAGTTACAACATCTCGCGACCGTATGGAAATTCCGAGTGTGGACTTGTCCAAAGCAAGCTATACTTATCGTGAGAGGCGAAATTGACTGATCGGGTTTAAGGCTCTCTTGAGGTGTCATCGTACCCCAGCGTTGACAGTTGCTCATAATATCAATCACTGGAGTGTCTGGTTCCGACTCGAGGCCGCCGGAAATTGCTGACAATGGCGTGAAACAATGCAATGTGACGTACTTGTATCCAAGGTTGGTACATGTGACTTTCGAGTTGGTGGTTGTCCAGCTGTTGCTGCAGACCGGGGTCCAGGCGTGACGGAAGACGCTGTACAGCTCCACCCGTCCCTGCCATGGCTGTACCCCGTCCGTCAGACGCACGTACCCGGCAGCTAAACAAGTTAAAACAAACTATTTTCAACGTTAGACTTTCCAAAGTCATGTCGTTCAAGGTAGATCACAAATATAATGAATAACTGAAAGCTTGATCCTTGTTTGCCAAGTACCATATGATTGCCATCAAGTGGGTTTCAGATGTCGGGATTGGGTAGGCTAGTGGGTTAAGCGTTCGCTTGTCACACGAGTTCGATTCCCCGCATGGGAACAATGTGTGAATCCAAAAGTAATTGTTCCCCTGATGGTGGTGGAATCACTCACTCACTCACTCTCACACACTCACTCACTCACTCACTCACTCACTCACTCACTCACACTCACTGCGGTTACAGCTTCCCATTTCTTTTGCTGTGTTTATCTTTTATTTTGTATATGTCAATACCTGTGGCATTTGTTTGACCCTTAAGAAAGGTCTGCCATTGTGATTTTCTGCCCAGATCTTCTCGGGATCTTGCCATAAGTGCCGACTAATAGGATTGTGATGTTGCTCATTATATCGACCACTGGTTTGTCCGGTCCCGATTCGATATTAAACAACAGCCGATAGAAAGATGGAATACTGCTCATAATACCAACGGCTGGCTAGCCTCGATTAGTTACAGACAGCTTACTGCGGCGCAAAACAACTCTCACCCAACAGTGCGGGCTGACAGCTGATGGCGACGTCACTTGTGTGGTTGCAGGTCGTGTCGTCGTCAAAGGAGCAGAACGCCAGGTCCGGCTCAGTCCCCCTGCACGTCACGTTCTCCATGTGCACTGGTCCTGTCCCCGTCCCATACGACGCTGCCGATGCCACAACAGCACCGGAATGCCTTTAAACAGGTGAGGCGAGGTGAAATGGGGTTTAACGTCGCGTCAAAGATTATTGCACTTATATAGCGACGTGCATGTACGTGTGTGTGTTTGTGTGGCTACTTGTACTAGTCCGGACTGATGCCGATTTATAGTGCTAGCCCACTGAGATACCATGCCGCAGTTTTAACATGAATACCCCACTCAGACACAGTATACTGACTCCGAGCCGACCAGTCCTTGTTTAAGCCCCTAAATGCCGAGCGCCAGACAGGGTAACAACAAGTACCATCTTTTAACGTCTTTTGGTATGACGCGGCCGGGGATCGAACCCCGGACCTTCCGCTCTCCGGGCGGACGCTCTACCACTAGACCACGGAGGCGGTCGCCTTTAAACAGACAAGCCCTACAATATGTTGTATTTTATAACGGACATCAATCCCGTCAAACGATATTTTGGTGTAAATTATTCCTATTCCTGACTGGTCCCAATTATTTCCTATAAAAATAATTATTTGTTAAAAAAGTACAATACAAGCTGAACCTGTTGAATTGTAAAGACACGATATTGGTGGTAGAGTTGATTGTTATACGGTAAACTACGGTTATAACGAACACGCTTACAACGAACTGACGGATATAGCGAACCTACTTTTTTGGTCCAGACTATTTGCTGTAGTTATGCTGTATATATGCTTATAACGAACTACGGTTATAACGAACTAAAATTAGTACTTCCTTTGAGTTCGTTATAACCGTACTTTACTGTATTCTGAAACACTTTTGTGAACGCAATCTCAACAACAAACCCTCTGCAAGAAGTAAAAATTAAATTTAGTTGGCTTTGAATTTTTTGTGGCCGATTGTTATAGTGAAATGTTTTCAGTGAAGCATTCTGTGTGTTGTATTGATCACGGAACACCGTATTAACTCAAGCGACACTATCAAAAAATTTCGAACAAAAAGATGGTTATCGAAAGCATAAACGTTTTGAACTCTTTGGGGTGTCGATAAAACGTAGACAATAACTCGCTGTTTGTTTGTTTGTTTGTTTGTTGTTTAACGCTGCTTTCTGGAATATTTCAGCTGCATTCCAGCTGTAAAAATCGAATCTGTGCGAGACAATCCAGTGACTGACGTCAATTCTTTATTTTGAAACAACAGCGAATAGCAAGTATGAGGTATATAAACATGAAAATATTGAACAACCAAGTATTTAATTGACACATTTCCTCATCCACATCTAGACCCACCGGACATCTGTGGCGCCGGAATTCACTGTGCGAATATCAGATTCTCTCTGATTGTGTTTCTATACTTGTCAGCACAAGACCTGCATCACTCTGGGCTTTCCTCCCACATCAACCCTTGATATAGCTGAGCTATGCCTCAATCCGGCGCCACACCCAACTCACTCACTCACTCATTCTGGACTCACCAGTATCCCAGCTTATCACAAACGACTCGCGCATCCAGAATGGTGAAGCCGACATTACACACGGAGCCCCACGTGGAGTTGGAGAACACCTCAAGTCTCCCCGCGTAGAGTGAAGTGCCACCCGTCAGCCGCATAGGGGTGTTGGCTGGGTAATATCAGAAACAAGTAAAAACTAATCACTCTAAATAATACATTACCGATAAAGGTTCAAGCATCACTTATAAATATGAAATACTAAAAAGATTAGCGTGAATAATTAAAAGTTTATTGTTAACAAACGTGATATCTTTTTCACTTTTGGTGCGGATTGTTAAAGTGTGTTCACAAATTGAAGTGAGGCCCTCTTTTTCGAGCTGAATTCGCTTTTGGTTAAGATTTACGGAAACTGTGACCTTGACCTCTACTGACCTTGGCAGTTGACCGCGGCTTGCCCCCGGACGCAGACAGATTTATCAACCCAGGTGATAACACCCCCTGGACATTGCAGGATGTCAGTCTCGGTCCCAAAGCAACGGGGAGAGTTGGCCATGACGTTATTTTCTAAACTCCCACCAAAGGCTGTCACTGGACTGCTGTAACCCTTGACTTCCCTGAAGACAGATTACACATTACATAGAGACAGAATGAAACTATTTTCAGATATATTGTGTTAATTTGTATGTGATAGAAAGGAGCCTGGATAATCTGTTCATATTCAAACTGAAGAAATATAGACTTACTAAACTACCGTAGACTTGCTTGGGAATGTCGGATGATATTGTTTCAAGGTCTGTATGAAAGACTTGTGAGCCATGAACCTCTCGGTCTAGTCATGCATTTATAATCAAATTGATTTCGTGTAGCTTAAACCAGGCGGTAAACAACTGAAACTGTTGAAATCTAGCTTTGCTAATGTGCAGTAGACGTGCTTGGGGTTATCGGATAGTTTTATATCAGGATCTGTTGCTAGACTACAACATACCTGCATATTGTTGCCAATGCATTGTTCTTTCACTTTAAGGATTGCTGGTACAGAGAGACGCAAGTTGAGGTTTAATGGGGTTGAACGTCACGTCCAAGACTATTGCACTTATGTTGCGTCGTGCATGGACGTGTGTTGTGGCTGCTTTTACTAGTCGGGACCGATTCATAGTCCTAGCCCACTGAGATACCATGCCACAGTTTAACATGAATACCCCATTCAGAGACATAATCCTGACTCCGAGCCGATCAGTCTGTGTTTTAACCCCTTAATGCCGAGCGCCAGGCAGGGTAACAACAAGTACCATTTTTTCACATCTTTTGGTATGACGCTGCCGGGGGCCATTATGTTTATAGTCAAAACTCACTCATTGTATTCAATTTTAATTATGACGAAGCCATTATTTTCACATTCAACATCCACTCATTGTATTCAATTCTAATCACGATGAAGCCCTTGTGTTCACAGTCAGCACTCACTGATTGTATTCAATTTTAATCACGATGAAGCCCTTATGTTCACAGTCAACACTCACTGATTGTATTCAATTTTAATCACGATGAAGCCCTTATGTTCACAGTCAACACTTACAGATTGTATTCAATTATAATCACGATGAAGCCCTTGTGTTCACAGTCAGCACTCACTGATTGTATTCAATTTTAATCACGATGAGGCCCTTATGTTCACAGTCAACACTCACAGATTGTATTCAATTATAATCACGATGAAGCCCTTATGTTCACAGTCAACACTCACTGATTGTATTCAATTTTAATCACGATGAAGCCCTTATGTTCACAGTCAACACTCACAGATTGTATTCAATTTTAATCACGATGAAGCCCTTATGTTCACAGTCAACACTCACTGATTGTATTCAATTTTAATCAAGATGAAGCGCTTATGTTCACAGTCAACACTTTCAGATTGTATTCAATTCTAATCACGATGAAGCCCTTGTGTTCACAGTCAACACTCACTGATTGTATTCAATTATAATCACGATGAAGCCCTTGTGTTCACAGTTAACACTCACAGATTGTATTCAATTATAATCACGATGAAGCCCTTGTGTTCACAGTCAACACTCACTGATTGTATTCAATTATAATAACGATGAATCCCTTGTGTTCACAGTCAACATTCACTCATTGTATTCAATTATAATCACGATGAAGCCCTTGTGTTCACAGTCAACACTCACTCATTGTATTCAATTATAATCACGATGAAGCCCTTGTGTTCACAGTCAACACTCATACATTTTATTCAATTTTAATCACGATGAAGCCCTTATGTTCACAGTCAACACTCACTCATTGTATTCAATTTTAATCACGATGAAGCCCTTATGTTCACAGTCAACACTCACTCATTGTATTCAATTATAATCACGATGAAGCCCTTGTGTTCACAGTCAACACTCACTGATCGTATTAAATTATAATCACGATGAAGCTTTTGTGTTCACAGTCAACACTCACACATTGTATTCAATTATAATCACGATGAAGCCCTTGTGTTCACAGTCAACACTCACTGATTGTATTCAATTATAATCATGATGAAGCCCTTATGTTCACAGTCAACACTCACTGATTGTATTCAATTATAATCACGACGAAGCCCTTATGTTCACAGTCAACACTCACTGATTGTATTCAATTATAATCACGATGAAGCCCTTATGTTCACAGTCAACACTCACTGATTGTATTCAATTATAATCACGATGAAGCCCTTGTGTTCACAGTCAACACTCACTGATTGTATTCAATTATAATCACGATGAAGCCCTTGTGTTTACAGTCAACACCCATTGTAGTCAATGTTCATCACGATGAAGCCCTTGTGTTCACAGTCAACACTTATACATTTTATTCAGTTTTAGTCACGATGAAGCCATTATGTTCCCAGTCAACACTCACTCATTAGGAAAGATGCTCCTGCAGACCACGTCGAGATCCTTTGAGGTGACGTACGAACTGCACAGGGCGCCATATTTACCACTGGGACCCCTGATGAAAACCCGACCTTCCCATTGGTAGGAGCCGCTCACCAGCTCAGCTGACGGGCCTGACGGGCCTGACGGAAGGGTATACATGACACAATTATTATCATTATCATTTACAGATTAAAATATAAAATGCAGCAAAGAGGGTTTGGGTGATCCTGGCACAGGCAGACTGGTTAGGCTCATCAGCAGCTCAGGGCCCTTGCCCCCTCTACACGCAGCCCAGACAACGAATCGGACTTCTCCCAGGAAGTGCTGCCTAGTCAAACCCACCCAGAACTTTTCGGAGAATGTGAAGACTCCCCAACACTGCAGCCTTCTGCATTACCCAGATTGTCAGAAGGGCTGTATTCCTGGTAGCAAACCCGGGTACTCTCCCTATGTCAGTCAACAGTTTGGGAGGTACCAAACCTAAGGCACCGAGAACAATGAGGAGTCGAACAAATTTGGACTTGGTATAGTAGTAGTAGTGGCAGGAGTAGTAGTAGTAGTAGTAGTAGTAGTAGTAGTAGTAGTAGTAGTGAAAGTAGAAATAGTAGTATTGTTGTTGCTGCTGTTACTGTTATAATTATTCCACAAAATCTATTCAATCAAAATGCGCATGTTCCATGTGAAACCATGACAGCTTGTTAGTTGTTGCATCTTTTCCCACCGGATACCCATACACTGCCGAATTATCTGGAACATATTCCCCGTTTCAGTGGCCCATTTTGCTCCACCTGATGCTATGGAATTTAAATAACAATTGTATCTTTAACCTCTTTGTGATGCTATGAACACGCCTGGAAACAACTAGAGAGGGCAGCCCAGGACCGAGGCCTCTGGCGGACTGTTGTCGGCGGCCTATGCTTCGGGAGGATCGATGGGCATAACTGAACTGACTGATGCTATGAACACATAAACTGTAACACTGTACATTTATTACCACGAAGACCTTACTTCCAAGTCCAACACTGGTCTGTCTTGAGGCTCTGTTGAGGCTCTGTTCTCTGCTCTGCCGTACTACCAGAAACACAAGCAGGCCGCTTGCCAAGAGACAACCCACCTGGAACATGAGTGAGTGAGTGAGTTTGATGAAACGCCGTTTTAAACAATATTCTAGTTACATCACGGCATGTCAGCTTCATGGGTGTTGGTTGGTTGGTTTGTTGTTTAAAGCCGCACTCAGCAATATTCCAGCTATATGAAGGCGGTCTGTAAATAATCGAGTCTGGACCAGACAATCCAGTGATTAATATCATGAGCATCGGTCCACGCAATTGGGATCGATGACATGCATCAACCAAGTCAGCAAGCCTGACCACCCGATCCCGTTAGTCGCCTTTTACGACAAGCATAGTCGCCTTTTACGGCAAGCATGGGTTGATGAAGACCTATTCTACCCCGGATCTTCACGGGTCTCTTCATGGGGGAGTAAAGCCAGAAGTGATGAAGGTCTGATACGTTTCCGACTTTGGGGAAACATATGAGGCAGGTAAGGTGCTGACAAACACACCGACAAACACAGGTACTGAGCCGGCCCTCGCAATAAAGCTGAAATAATTCCGATACGACGTTAAATTTTAAATTTTAACCCACTACTGGGCCGACCGTCGTGATATGGCTGAAATAATTCCGATACGACGTCAAATTATAAATTTTAACCCACTACTGGGCCGACCGTCGCGATATGGCTGAAATAATTCCAATACGACGTTAAATTGTAAAGTTTAACCCCCTACTGACCCGACCAATCTAGAATCATTATCAAGGCAAGTCTGGGGCTAACATCCATGGTTATTGGTTTCTGGCACACCTAAGGGACGCAACTCTGCAAAGTGAATTGCGGCGGCTCAGACGTTAAATTGTAAAGTTTAACCCCCTACTGAGCCGACCAACCTGGAATCATTATCAAGGCGGGTTATATGGGGCTAACATCCATGGTTATTGGTTTCTGGCACACCTAAGGGACGCAACTCTGCAAAGTGAATTCCGGCGGCTCAGACGGCTAGGCCATCTGGCGTAAGTCTGGATATATGTAAATAAATATACGTCAAGACCAGAGAACAGCCAATCCGGAAGCAGAAGGCAAAACAACGGTGACAATTATATGAACGAATCATTGAATATCAGTCCATGTTTAGGAACAAGGATCGCATGGACACAGGTGCTATGCATCTGATACTGACCATATATGGTAATGGTCCTTGAAATAATTAAACGACTTGTCGTGGTTATAAGACAGAAGCAGTACCGAATATGCTTTTCGTTTCAAAATAAAGTGTTACTAACTGAAAACACTCACCAAACCGAGGCAAAACTTTCGGATCATTATTGAATTGTCGTTATAATCTTTATCATTATCGCCTAGGAAGGCTTAGTCTTATCTATGGTTTTGTTCGCGAAAAGTGCCATCGACGTCAACAGTCATAATAAGACAGCAGGACGTTTAATATACACAAATAGGGCCTTGTACAGACTATGATCCAATGTACGGCAGAGTTTGAGGGATCCTCAGGAAAAAACCAGTCGATCTCATTAACATCAGATCTTACAGTCTCATACCTCAAACACATACTCCACAGTTCTAATCAATCAGGGGGGCGGTCGGGTAGCCTGGTGGTTAAAGCGTTCGCTCGTCACGCCGAAGACCCGGGTTCGAATCCCGACATGGGTACAATGTGTGAAGCCCATTTCTGGTGTCCCCGCCGTGATATTGCTGGAATATTGCTAAAAGCGGCGTAAAACCAAACTCACTCACTCAAATCAACCATGACCCCATGTACTGCAGTGTCGGGTTTTTTTAAGTTTGAGGGATCCTAGGGAAACAACCAGTCGATCTTATTAACATCAGATCTTATAGTCTGATACCTCAAACACACACTCCACAGTTCTAACCAACCAGTCAGCTTCTAACGTCTCGGTACCAGGGAGTGATGAATTAGTGGGAGCATATCTGATATATGTACATTGAAACCGTAAACAAGCATTTCCAAATATAATCAATCAAGTGAGTGGGTGAACATGGTTTTACGCCGCTTTAAGCAATATTCCAGCAATATCACGGCGGGGGACACCAGAAATGGGCTTCACACATTGTACCCATGTCGGGAATGGAACCCGGGTCTTCGGCGTGACGAGCGCACGCTTTAACCACTAGGCTACCCGACCGCCCCTAATTAATCAAGGATTCGCTGTCACAGTGTTGTGGATATGTCCTTTTCAGCGCCATGGCATGAACACCAACTGTCGGTTGACAATTCTGTCATCCGATCATCCCACCAACGTTTATTTAGAGTTGTTGTCTACCCACGGTTCATCCTGTCCCTTAGAGGGTTTGTCAGATTTCACGCATTTATAAGAAACAAACTATTATATTTATCTGGAGTATGTGAAATCGTTGGGAGATCTGCCATCTGTGGCCACCAGATAAGGCGGAGAGCCTACAGCAAGATTACTCTGACCATACCGGCAACTGTGGTGTGCTTATGTTGCCACAAATGCAGTCAAATTTACTCAGTGTTCACGTTTACTTTCGAATGTTTTGGACCAGCAAACTAATAACTTGGAATTAGTCGTAAGGAGAGAAGGTTTTATCATTTCCGACTCAGAAGGCACCTTCTGCACCTTCTGCCATTACCCAGGGGATTTATATAGCTGTTGAAATGCTTCACTTTCCTGCAAATGATGTTTGTGTGTAGTTTTGAACAAAAAGTTGAGATAATAGCAAAGCTCACTTTTTGTTGTCAGGGTAAAAGTCACTCAATCATATTAAATTCATCGGACCCGTGAAGATCCGGTGTATAATAGGTCTTCAGCAACCCATGCTTGACGTTAAAGGCGACTATGCTTGTCGGGTGGTCAGGCTCGCTGACTTGGTTGAAGCATGTCATCGATCTCAATTGCTTGGATCGATGCTCATGATATTAATCACTGGACTGTCTGGTCAAGACTCGATTATTTACCGACCTCCGTCATATAGCTGGAATATTGCTGAGGGCGGCGTTAAACAACAAACCAACCGACCAACCAATCATGTGCGTGTATTTAATATGTCTTGAGTACTTGGCCTTGTTCTGAATAGCGTGTAGTGGTTATGTGTGTAATGTGTGTCTCGGGAGTACTTGGCCTTGGTCTGAATAGTGTGTGGAGGTTATGTGTGTCTTGGGAGTACTTGGCCTTGTTCTGAATAGCGTGTAGTGGTTATGTGTGTAATGTGTGTCTCGGGAGTACTTGGCCTTGTTCTGAATAGCGTGTGGAGGTTATGTGTGTAATGTGTGTCTCGGGAGTACTTGGCCTTGTTCTGAATAGCGTGTGGAGGTTATGTGTGTAATGTGTGTCTCGGGAGTACTTGGCCTTGTTCTCAATAGCGTGTGGGGGTTATGTGTGTCTCGGGAGTACTTGGCCTTGTTCTGAATAGCGTGTGGAGGTTATGTGTGTAATGTGTGTCTCGGGAGTACTTGGCCTTGTTCTGAATAGCGTGTGGAGGTTATGTGTGTAATGTGTGTCTCGGGAGTACTTGGCCTTGTTCTGAATAGCGTGTGGAGGTTATGTGTGTAATGTGTGTCTCGGGAGTACTTGGCCTTGTTCTGAATAGCGTGTTGAGGTTATGTGTGTAATGTGTGTCTCGGGAGTACTTGGCCTTGTTCTGAATAGCGTGTAGTGGTTGTGTGTCTCGGAAGTACTTGGCCTTGTTCTGAATAGCGTGTGGAGGTTATGTGTGTCTCGGGAGTACTTGGCCTTGTTCTGAATAGTGTGTAGTGGTTATGCGTGTAATGTGTGTCTCGGGAGTACTTGGCCTTGTTCTGAATAGCGTGTGGAGGTTATGTGTGTAATGTGTGTCTCGGGAGTACTTGGCCTTGTTCTCAATAGCGTGTGGGGGTTATGTGTGTCTCGGGAGTACTTGGCCTTGTTCTGAATAGCGTGTGGTGGTTGTGTGTCTCGGGAGTACTTGGCCTTGTTCTGAATAGCGTGTGGTGGTTGTGTGTCTCGGGAGTACTTGGCCTTGTTCTGAATAGCGTGTGGTGGTTGTGTGTCTCGGGAGTACTTGGCCTTGTTCTGAATAGCGTGTGGTGGTTGTGTGTCTCGGGAGTACTTGGCCTTGTTCTGAATAGCGTGTGGTGGTTGTGTGTCTCGGGAGTACTTGGCCTTGTTCTGAATAGCGTGTAGTGGTTATGTGTGTTATTTGTCTCTCGGGAGTACTTGGCCTTGTTCTGAATAGCGTGTAGTGGTTATGTGTGTTATGTTGTGTCTCGGGAGTACTTGGCCTTGTTCTGAATAGTGTGTAGTGGTTATGTGTGTTATGTGTGTCTCGGGAGTACTTGGCCTTGTTCTGAATAGCGTGTGGAGGTTATGTGTGTAATGTGTGTCTCGGGAGTACTTGGCCTTGTTCTGAATAGCGTGTTGAGGTTATGTGTGTAATGTGTGTCTCGGGAGTACTTGGCCTTGTTCTGAATAGCGTGTAGTGGTTGTGTGTCTCGGAAGTACTTGGCCTTGTTCTGAATAGCGTGTGGAGGTTATGTGTGTCTCGGGAGTACTTGGCCTTGTTCTGAATAGTGTGTAGTGGTTATGCGTGTAATGTGTGTCTCGGGAGTACTTGGCCTTGTTCTGAATAGCGTGTGGAGGTTATGTGTGTAATGTGTGTCTCGGGAGTACTTGGCCTTGTTCTCAATAGCGTGTGGGGGTTATGTGTGTCTCGGGAGTACTTGGCCTTGTTCTGAATAGCGTGTGGTGGTTGTGTGTCTCGGGAGTACTTGGCCTTGTTCTGAATAGCGTGTGGTGGTTGTGTGTCTCGGGAGTACTTGGCCTTGTTCTGAATAGCGTGTGGTGGTTGTGTGTCTCGGGAGTACTTGGCCTTGTTCTGAATAGCGTGTGGTGGTTGTGTGTCTCGGGAGTACTTGGCCTTGTTCTGAATAGCGTGTGGTGGTTGTGTGTCTCGGGAGTACTTGGCCTTGTTCTGAATAGCGTGTAGTGGTTATGTGTGTTATTTGTCTCTCGGGAGTACTTGGCCTTGTTCTGAATAGCGTGTAGTGGTTATGTGTGTTATGTTGTGTCTCGGGAGTACTTGGCCTTGTTCTGAATAGTGTGTAGTGGTTATGTGTGTTATGTGTGTCTCGGGAGTACTTGGCCTTGTTCTGAATAGCGTGTGGAGGTTATGTGTGTTATGTGTGTCTCGGGAGTACTTGGCCTTGTTCTGAATAGCGTGTGGTGGTTGTGTGTCTCGGGAGTACTTGGCCTTGTTCTGAATAGCGTGTGGTGGTTGTGTGTCTCGGGAGTACTTGGCCTTGTTCTGAATAGCGTGTGGAGGTTATGTGTGATGTGTTTGTCTCTGTGTCCTTGGAACTGACCAGTTCCACCGAGGAGGAATATCAGTTAATACATTTTGCGCTGACTTTACCATTGCTCTCATCACATCCTGAAGGGAGACTTTCAAATAAATAAACAACACACAATTTTGCACGGTTGGTGTATTGCAGATTATTGAGGTGAGAATCACAGTTTGGGAGTTCTAGTTACAGCCTCCCTGTGAGACTGTAACATCGTCGATGGCGATGTAGGAGTTGGAGACCGTTCCCCTGATGCCCACGATGTCGAGGTTGAACTGCGTCCAGTAGCTGACGATTTTCACTGTGGCGTGGTGCCAACCAGTTCCAGCATCGGCGTCCAACAAGGACAGAGTCTCCACTGGATTCCCGTATACCTGCAGAGTGAGTGAGTGAGTGAGTTGGGTTTAACGCCGCTTTTAACAGTATTACAGTTTTATCACGGCGTGTCAGCTTAATGTGGGAGGAAAGCCCGAAGTGATGCAGGTCTCAGACGTTTACCACTTCGGTGAAACCCACGAGCACGGGTATGGTGCTGACAAACCTAGAAACACAATCGGGGCGAACCGGGATTCGAACCCACAATCATAGGTTTCTGGCGTGCCCAAGGGACGCAACTCTGCACAGCGAATCGCGGCGCCTTAGACGACTGGGCCACCCGTGCCCCCACCTGCAGAGTGAGTTATATGATGTGATATAATAGGGCAAGCTCTTATGCTATTATTTAGAAAGGTTCAGAGCCATGGTAGGAACGCTAACTGATCGTCTAACATCTACACTCTGTTTACTACAGGTAACTAGACATATCTTTAAAAATCCCAACACGGTTCAGATGTATTGTCTGATAAATCCATATCTGTTTGATGATAATATTTGAGATTTTACGAGCGCTTCTGGTAGGACAGATTTCGCACATGTGACTATTTGGGGTGAAGCTTATATCCAAATGTGTGTTCTCTAATTATAACGTGTATTGGTTAATGTGAACCCCTGTACCCCCGTGAAGCTATCACAGCAATAATATCCAACATGCCAATACCATTCTGCGGATAAGAAGACTGCCGATGTTTTGGCCATCCATGTAGTACCAAAAGTCGAGACAGAAGATGGTGTTGGTTGTCAGAAGCGGCGATACCAACCCTGCGGTTTTTTCAATGGCGAACTTGGGATCCAGGTAGATGTAATGACCACTGCCTGTGTGTGGAATGTGAGACCTCAGTGTGATGCCACCATCGATATAAAAGATATACATTTGGCAGATTGATTTCTTAACGCTGTGTGCATACATGAGCTGTTCCCTGCAGCTGGTTGGTGCTTTAATCACAGATTCACGACGACCCGCCTATAAAAGACACCTTGGTAGGTTATATATGAACCATTACATCCATTTGAATTGAGTCAGTGAATGTATTTGTACGCCGAAGTCCGGATCATTCACGACCAACTCGCGTTATTCCGGGACAAGCCGAACAGCGACTCGTGTCCCTCTTGTGGCCATTAAATATATTTGCCTCGATTTCACCCAAAAAAGGTGGCTGGGCATCCGGCATTTCCTGTTTGAAATAAATGTTCTGCTCCTTCTTGCAGAGAAATAAATTATATGTCTTGAAGTGAGTGTGTGAGTGAGCATATTTTCATTAACATCAAAGCGGTGGACACCAGCAATGGGCTTCACACATTGTACCCATGTGGGGAATCGAACCCTTTACCCACTGGACAAATACTAACCCAGCGTCTGCTAGGTCGTTATTGTGGATTGTTGTTAGTAGTAAAGTGTGTTTTGGGAGTTAATTGTTTGTTACCTGTTTGAAGTGTGTGGTCTGTCGGTGGACCCACATAGCCTCTGCTTGGTGGTCCGGATTTAATCGACCAATCAAAATCGTCCTGTTTTCCTTGCGTCCAGCTGCACAACTGACTCTCGAAGTCACAGTCAAGGGGATTGGCTGAAACATGAAATAATGACTCACTAATTCATTTTCAGAACGTGGGCGCCCAGTCGTCAAAGGCGCTGCAATTCACTGTGCAGAGTTGGGTCCCTTGGACACGCCATAAAACTATGATTGAAGGTTGGACTCCCGGTTCGCCTTGATTATGTTTCTTAGGTTGTCGTGCTCGAGGTGGTAATACACCGTAGTCGTAAACCTCTGAGACATGCATCACTTCCGGCTTTCCTCCCACATCAAGCTATACTTGGAATACTGTTTAAAGCCGCGTTAATCACTCTCTCATTTACAGAAGTATGATGATGTTGGTTACATCGAGGATTCATCACGAGTGTTTTTTAATATGGGAAATATCAACCGAGTCTTAGTTAATCGGTATTTGCCGAGCCTTTGGCGAGGCAAATACCGATTAACGGGACGAGGTTGATATTTCCCATATTAAAAAACACGAGTGATGAATTCTATTTATCATTTTCACATTTTTGCGTCCAAATTAAGGAATAATTGCATTAAACATTAACATCAGCAACTTGTCGAAATCTTACGTATAGATCGTGCGTAGTGATACATGTTTTCCATAGTCATGTAAACCAAAATAAACAATTCGCTGAGAAAAAAAGTTCCTCGGATTATTTTAAACAAAATACTTGAACAGACTTTTGCAGAATAATTGAAACTTTAATAACGGTAACAACAACGATTCTGTGTAATCTGATTATATCTCTGGTGTAACTTCACTTATAATATATAGTTTCAAATCAAACCGCTCGCTCTTCCGGTTATCTAATTTGCATATCTAATGTGCATACTTATGTCATATGGGTATGACATACATGTTTTTATGTCATAAGCTTATGTCATGGATAAATGCTTAAGTTAAATGATAAATGGATGTTATCGCACATCGCCAAAGTCTTTTGTGTTTTGTGTTACTGTCCCGGTACAACCCAGCTATATAACCACGGCGGCCTGTAAGTAGTGGAAGCTGGACCAGACAAATTGATTTTGTATTATTTTGATATTATGAGCAACGCGGGGCATGCTGACACAAAATCAACAAAGTCACCGAGACAGACAACCCGATCCATTTACAGTAAACTACGGTTATAACGAACACGCTTATAACGAACTGACGGATATAACGAACCTACTTTTTTGGTCCAGACTATTTGCTGTAGTTATGCTGTATATATGCTTATAACGAACTACGGTTATAACGAACTAAAATTAGTAGTCCCTTTGAGTTCGTTATAACCGTACTTTACTGTAGTTGTGAGTGAGCTATTCTCTGGCGTTGGCGTTTTATATTACCTATTTAATGAAACGATTTCAATGTAAACTGACTATTTATTGGTAGCAATAGTTGACAATACTCCCAAACGCCCCGTTATAAAAATACCGACCTGGTGGTGGACAAGAGTTTGCTGTACCCGTGATGTCGTCAATGGCAATGTCGCCGTAGAAGTTGGCGCCTTTGGTCATTTCTATGATGATGTTGTATTGTTTGGCAGACGCTGGAACGGTGAACCTCGCCAGTTTCCACTCGTTGCCTTGACTACCCTTGTGCGTCCACATCATTTGCCTGGCTTCCCCATGTTTCTGTTACAGATTAGAACATGACTTATTTAGCGTCAACAGTTTGTAAGCAAAGTTGCTGGTCTACATTCAGAGAAATAAACTTCATACTGTAGATGGTATCAAAAAATGTCTATGCTGATTTTGATTGTTTATTCGATTCTTAGCGGGCCTGTAGCTGAAGCCGAAAACGCATAAGGAGATCATAAGGAAACAGAAGGGTCCCCAGCGCATCCCATTAGGGTAGGCGCTCTTATTATGAATAATTTGTATGTACAACGAGACATAACGGGAAGCCCCTGGCCATGTTAACAGAATTAGTTAAAAGAAACTGTGTTTCACTTTAACATATTCTGACCACATATGTTTAAACGTTAGATGAAACTGAATATTATGTCAATGTGCTAATGTTTGAGCAAATTAACAAAATCATTTATACTCAATTTTAGTTGATGACGCCATTGCATGCAGTGTATGGTGGCGCTTCTCTCATTCTAAATCACCTCTGTCGTTAGCGATACCCAACTCGTAAATTCGGAATAAACTCGCATATTGTTTCATGTGTAACGCTGTCTAGTTGACGAGTGGAGTCTTTGTGTTTTTTTTAAAAAGTGGCTGTATCTCTACATATGTTCAATGAAAAAACTTATATGTCATAAAGAATTCCCGATTCACACATATATATACGAGCAGTCATTGGAATATCTATGGTGCACTTTCTGATGTGTCATTCTATATGATCTTAATTAATACTTATTGCAGGAGCATAGACCCAGGGGTCAAATATACTATGTTTGAAACACTTGTTGTGAGTTCGAGCTTTGGTCCTTGGTTGGTCAACATCATGGTCAGTATCATGTCCGTGCGCGTGGGTTTCACCAGCGTGATTATACAAGAATAGGACCTCAATAACGTTGGGGTTTATTCCCCCATGAACGTGACAAGCAATGGTTTAACTGAAATACGAGGCGGCGTTAAACCCAACTCACCCAAGGACTCATGTGTGTTCTTATCCGCTGCCACAGTTTGTGTCTCTAACAAATACCCAGTGCTACAGCTTGTCGTTTGTGGGTCCGCATTCTTTCTTCCCACACATTGAACTGACACGTCAACGGAGATGACTCGCTGGAATACATTGTCTCTGGACCAAGACAACACTACTGAAGCCATATTTATTTATCGTTTACCGAATGGTTGAATTCCACGTGTGTCTACAATGCCATACCCTACCTGGACATACACGTTGAGAGATCCCACCCCTGAGCCACTCATGTGGTACCAGACGCTGAAGCACATGGCCCCCTTGTTGGTGAGCAAGGGGGAGACAACCCTGGCCGTGTCACCTGCAGCCCCAGTGGACGTCTCCAGGTAAAGGTAGTGTCCTCGTGCTGTTCTCGAAAATAAAATACGTGTTTTATCACATAATGGAAGTGTTTTAGAAACCAATACAATAAACCTGATATCACACTACAACAGATATACAAATGAGACACCTAGCAGAAACTAGTTCTAAGTTTCATACATTGATGATTGCTCCATGAACTATTACCAATAATTTAGATGAGGGTTCCCCAAAGTGTGGGTGATTCTGAAACATCAATTATGTTTAAGAATGACATCATCTCATGTGATAACGGGAATATTAATATTACCCTCGGGTGTTTCTGTATCATAAATATCACATATTAGGAATAAAAAAAAACAAACTTAATATCATCTCCGATGGCTCGCACAATACATACAATAATCCTATCCATACTATATTATATTGATGATATGACAGACTCAAGTTCATCTTGTTTAGGGGTCAACCATTTAATATGATGGATGGAGGCTGGATGGCTTGGGGTTTTGTTTGTTTTATTTTTTTGGGAAAGCAGGAGCTGAACAAATAACATATTTTTTTAGGACACACAAGCTTGCCAAGCGAAACAAATTTATTATTTCCAAGAATATCAGGTGGTTGGTCCTTAAGAACTAGCCGTTGGAAGGGTGTGATTTTCATTGAGGTGAGGTGAGGTGAAATGGGGTTTAACGTCGCGTCAAAGATTATTGCACTTATATAGCGACGTGTGTGTGTGTGTGTGTGTGTGTGTGTGTGGCTGCTTGTACTAGTCCGGACTGATGCCGATTTATAGTGCTAGCTCACTGAGATACCATGCCACAGTTTAACATGAATACCCCACTCAGACACAGTATACTGACTCCGAGCCGACCAGTCCTTGTTTTAGCCCCTTAATGCCGAGCGCCAGACAGGGTAACAACAAGTACCATCTTTTAACGTCTTTTGGTATGACGCGGTCGGGATCGAACCCCGGACCTTCCGCTCTCCGGGCGGACGCTCTACCATTAGACCACGGAGGCGGTCCTGATTTTCATTGAACAGATGTATAATGCTAGTGCTTTAGTCGCTTGGGGGAAATGTGATGATGTGATCCCCTCACCATCTTTCAGGGTGTGATCAGCCGACGGTCCAGTCATCATGCTTGGTGTGGCGCCATTGTATATGACCAGATCTTTCTGGTCATCTGTTGCCTGTTTCCAAAGGCACGTGCCAGACTCAAAGTCACAATTCAGGTCACGAGCTAAAATCACGGAAGCAAGTTATGTTTGTACAAAGTTAACATATATGCAACATGACACATACAAGTGACAAATCCGGCATGGTGCATGTCTAAATGGTGTTAACTAAAATACATTTGTGTACGTGTACACATTTACAGACAGAATTTGACAATCAAAATATGCCTCCACTCAGGAGAGTGCATTAAGAGCCAGCAGGTCCCCACCATGTCAACTTTAGAGTGAGTGAGTGAGTGAGTCTGGTTTGACTTCGCTGTGAGCAGTATTGAACAGGAGAAGCATTAATAATTCATCCACATGGAAGCGCATTAGTTACACATTCTACGCCGATGGTACTTTCAAAATCTACGTCGACGATATTTGCTTTAGTATGTGGCATTAATACGCTTCCCTGCATCCGTATATACCAAGAAGACCGCAGGAAGTGCACATTGGTCAGTGCCACCCACCGGTCATTGTGCAAACCCCGTCTGTAACTTCAATATCATCCAGGGCGATGTCCCCCTCGATGGACTTTCCTCGCTGAGCCTCCAGCACCACCCTGTAAGACTGGGAGGTGGCGGGTATAGTCACTGCCATGTGGTTCCACTGGTTACCCTGGTCACCATCTTCATGCCATATGGAAGTTCGGGAACCGTTTTGATACTGAGAAGAAAAGTTCGAATAGTGTTCATCGATGAGAGTGTGCGCTGCAATCTGTTTGGTTGATGACGTGATTAAATGGGATTAGATGCCCGGAAATGTCATTGACTATTACCTGTGTGCATGAATATTTTCTGAACAAGCATCATTTTTGTCAATCTCAAATTTGAAAAGAATGTAACACATTGTATCATAACGTACTCTCATTCGAAAGTGACGTCATAGTATTCCAGAGGTACACCATGTGTGTCTCACACAGAGAAAGAAAGAAAGACAGACACAAAGAGAAACAGAAAGACAGAGACAGAGAGACACAGAGAGAGGGGGGTCGGGGGTAAGCGAGAGAGATTCGGAAAATAACATTTTTATTTTACATTGTCGATAAACAAATCTGAAAATACATATTTTTTGGTCTCCTAATTATGTACCTAACTCTGATAACATGAACCTGCATGTCGTTTTGTCACGAGGTTTTAATATAAAAACAACTCAGAGAGAAATAACAAATAAATTCAAGCAAGATGTGAACACACAATATCTGGGATCAGAGACAGTTATAGACGTGCCCACAATCTGCAATCTCAATCTCCATGATACCATTGCGATTCCTAGTAATTACAGGCCCCTACAATGTATGCTTGTCAGAGACGTCTTAATGTATCGGGGGGGGGGGGGGGGGGGGGGGGGGGGTAAGACTTGGTGACCTGGATGTTAACGTGTCATCGTACCCAACGGCGTGCATCGTTGCTCATAATATCAGTCGCCGGATTGTCTTGTCCAGATTTGATTATTTACAGGCTGATGTCATATAACTGGAATGTTGCTAAGAGCAGCGTTAAACAAGAAACATAAACTTTTTGTGAGTGTGTTGAGACATGTACCTCTTTAAACACTGTCAGTGAGTTGACGTCTGTGCCAAACATGTGGTACCACATCCGCAAACATGTGACTGTCTTTCCTCCCAAAACCGGGGACACTAGGTCTGCCTTGTCGTTGATATTGCCTAAGCTGGTCTCCATATAGACGTAGTAACCATGACCTAAAATGGAAAATACATCGACCTTGACTTTCCGGATGGCAGTTTGACCTTGAAGTGATAAAGATATGGAGTGATCAATCTGAGTTTATATGACACGTGTGACATACCGGTGGTATGATCTGAGCTTGGTCCCGTGGAACCTGTCGGAGTGCCCCCTGTGTGATAGATCCAGTCCGTGTTGTCTGTCTGACTCTGGGTCCAAGAACAGAAGTCCCTTTCAAAGTCACAGCTCAGAGCTACCACAAACAGAGTTTTAAAACTATACCAAACTATATACCATGCTTGGCACAAAAGACAGGACGATATTTCAAATGAAAAAGGCAACCAGGCAACTAGACAGCACTTCAATACATGCTCCCCGAGGACTACAAGAACGTGGGGAATGTGGTCTGTTGTTTAATGTTTTTTAACAAGGTCCGCTGGTTCTATTGTAGGATAGTAAACTCAACTGGACGCAATACCTCGTCGACTGTGCTATGATGATTTGCAACGACGATGATTCTACGCCCTACTCTCAGACAACATGACCTTGCCAGTTCCTGTTCTGACATTGGTGTACTGTGTGAATGCGTGTGTGTGGTTTTACGTCGCTTTAAGGCAACATTCCAGCACCATCACGACTGGGGACACCAGGAATGGGCTTCACACATTGTACTCATGTGGGGAATCGAACCTGGCTTTCTGCCTTTTTCGACCTCACTTGTTTGTAATCAGCTAAGCAAGGGCGGTTTGGTCGAAACACCGAAATCCTGCCAGGTTCCAACACTATTCTTGATTCAAGAACAGGACAGGCCTCTTTCATGTCACATTTAACAGTATTCTGAAGCATATCCTGAACATTGTCCTGAGTGCACTAACCCTAATTCAAAGCCTGCTATAAATGTGGCCTATTATATTGCCTTTTTGGATTGTTAACCTAAAAGTGTGTGGTTAAATATAATTGATTCATTATTTTTTTATCTTGTGTAGTCATTTACTGATCACACAATATATTTCTGTGCTAACCCATTTCTTGGTGAACATCTGCGTTTTTATTTTGCGAATCACATCGTGACAATATTGTACAATGTATAGGACTCTCACAGTTACTTAAAACCCTAATGACACAGAGACACAGCGCCTTGATCTAGACTGGGAACAAAAAACATGTACACAGAGCGTAATTAGGACAATCTATAACTCATTCGTCACTACTCGCCCCTTTCCGTAACCTGCAAGAAGACTCGTCCCCCTATCGATGAATGTTATGTGCGAAAATACGACAAACCAATCAGAAAGCGCGTATGATTTTAAGTTGTTCATCAAAGAATCACTCAGAAATATTTTTTTGATTTTAGATATGTCTTGCATCTAAAAATATACCCAAGACACAGTTAAATGTGTTTAATCATACTGTATAATTCCGCATGTCACGATGTGCTTTAAATTGCATCTGAAATATATATAATATATGGGGAAATATATGTGAACCATTACGCAACGAGCTGACAATTGTTTTAGGTATGCCCGTTTGCGCTAAGACGGAACACGGTCGCAAAAATGGCCATGAGAGGGGCACGAGTCGCTATTCGGCTTGTCCCGGAATAACACGAGTTGGTCACGAATGTCATTTACTGTTAGATTGATATCAATGGTGAATTCGAGTAAGACGACAAACGATTTGGGATTCGGGAGACTTGAACCAATCTTGCTTGATTTGCCAATTTGTCCTATCGCAGACCACCTGTAAAGTTTCAGTTAAGGTGAGATGAAACCGTGATGACGTACCGATTAACTTAACGTTGAATGTTTTCTCCACGTGCCCCATTCCATTGTCTGCCAGGCACTTATACTCCCCCGCATCTGTTGACCTGGAGCCAGGGATGATGAGCAGGGGCCCTTGTTGTGTGGCGTCAAGCGGTAGAGTTGATCCAGTTTTCATCCACGTGACCTTCGACGGTGGGTCTCCCCCAACAGTGCAGTTCAATGTAACCCCACCATTGCGTTTACCTACAACCGTCTCTTTGGTGGGGCCAATTATATATGGCTGTACTGCAATCAAATTCAGGGAATGAAGAGTGAGGGAGTTGACCTGAGAAAGTATTTAATTTCTGTGAGATGGTTGAGTTTGTGACACTTTGAACACTATGACAGTCACATCACAGACTTTTGTGGAAGTATGTGGGTTGTGTTTGTGATACTTTAAACAGTAAGTCTGTCACAACACAAACTTTTGTGGAAGTGTGTAGGTTGAGTTAATGTCACTTTGAACAGTATGTCTGTCATATCACAGACTTTTGTGGAAGTGAGAGGGTGGACTTTAAAGTGAGTGAGTTCAATGTCGTTATATCATGGCGTGTCCTCGTCGAAGGCATATCACACCTTGATGTTGGAAGAAGACCGGAAAAAATGCAGGTTTCCATCGTTCACAAGGCAGGGTATGGTGTACGGATCATGACGTAAATATATATATTGATCAAATGTAATGAAACTATGTTTATAGCATAATCAATGAAACGGTACACGTTCCCATTAATATACAAGTTCTGCTTAAAGTTTAGTGTTAAATGTTCAAGAAGTTTGAATATTAGATTACAAAATTAATTTAGAATCATTGTCTCAACAGAAAAATGTGCTTTTGCAAATAAACGCAATAAAAGCATTGCTGTTAAAAATGTGTAAGTTTGATACTTACCAACGCATGTGCAGTTCGAATCAACATAAGGGGTATGTCCATCTAATCCTTGTTCTCCTTTGGAACCCTTGACCCCTGGCAAACCAGCATCACCTTTGACCCCTACACCTCCTGGTTCACCTTTGGCCCCGGGGTCACCGATCATGCCTGCATCACCTTTCAAACCTTTGGCTCCCTGAAGCCCGGATGTTCCGTTGATGCCCTGCTCCCCTTCAATGCCCTGTTGCCCGGAGAGACCTTTGTCACCCTGGACACCATCCGTCCCTTGTTCCCCTTTCAAGCCTGGCTCCCCGGTCTGTCCAGCTTGACCTTTGATTCCTGGAGGCCCTTGAATCCCCCGAGTGCCATTGTCCCCCATTTCACCATTTTGACCAACTGTTCCCAAAAGTCCCTTTGGACCTGGTTTGGAAATATGATTTGATTGTGAGCAACGACCCCCGCAGGTTATAATAACACGCTGTCAACCTATTCATCAAATCTGACCACCTATCTATTAAGTCACCGCTTACGACCAGCATAGTTTGCTGGGGATCTATATTAACCTGGAACCCCACGGAGTGGAAGTATGTTTCTTGTTCCTTAAACTTATGGAAGGTTTAATGGTCATTGCACAATGACAGTCATGATGCAGTAACCTTATCGCATGTATAATATACATATACTTGTTATATATAATTATACAGACAGTCAAGTCGGCCACCCTCCTGCACAGAGAATGTGGCATCGTCAGAAAATGCTTTAGAATTTTGAAAAAGAGTTCCGGCGCGTTTGATTACAGTGTTAAAATTCAGTTTTGTCAGAAATGGTTGCCAGAGAATGTTTGGTATTAAAATGGTAGTGTAGTGTTATATTGTGACCGCTGTACTGATGAAGGATGCTATAAACAAAGTGTAAGTGTTGGTGAATGTGTGACGTCACAGTCACCATTATTCCAGCTATACCACGGCGGTCTAACACTAGTCCAGGCGATCCACTTACAACCTGGTGGTCCGATCCATTTAATTGCCTCTCACGAACAGAATGGGTCACTGTGGATCCATTCTACCCACGATCCAGGATCCACAAGAGGGACAAAACTTAGTTGGAAAACCATTTATTAGTGATTGGCTGGGTAAGTTTGCTTTAACGCCACCTTGAGCAATATCTCAGTTATACCACGGCGTGTCAGTTTGATTTGGGAGGAAATCCCGAAATGATGCAGGTCTCAGATGTTTACCACTTTAGTGATACTATTGAGTCCTATGGAGCTGTAAAACGGGGGAGTCGGGGACTCGATGCCAGGTTCATAGGTTTCTGGCACGCCTAAGGGACGCAACTCTGCGTATGTATGATAATAGTTTTGACCTTTATTAGACAGTCCTCGTCCTGCCATTAGTAACGGAGTCTTCATTAACCAGTTATTTTGCTGTTATATCACACTTGGATTGATATACATGTGAAAGCATATATTGTTAACTGTCTTACCTGTATCTCCTAATGGCCCAGTGTCTCCCTTCTCTCCTGCATACAAGGATGATTAGTCAGGTGGGCCACAAACATCAAACATTTCAAAGAGATATATGTTGGGAGAGTACAGTCAGTCAAGTGGGATACAACAGGTGGGATACAAATATCAAACATTTCAAAGAGAAATCAGTTGGAAGAGAACAGTCAGTCAAGTGGGATACAACAGGTCGGATACAAACATCAAATATCTCAAAGAGAAATCAGTTGGCAGAGAACAGTCAGTCAAGTGGGATACAACAGGTGGGATACAAATATTAAACATTTCAAAGAGAAATCAGTTGGGAGAGAACAGTCAGTCAAGTGGGATACAACAGGTCGGATACAAACATTAAACATTTCAAAGAGAAATCAGTTGGGAGAGAACAGTCAGTCAAATGGGATACAACAGGTGGGATACAAACATTAAGCATGTCAAAGAGAAATCAGTTGGGAGAGAACAGTCAGTCAAGTGGGATACAACAGGTGGGATACAAACATAGAAATAGAATATTTTTTTTAAAAAGACGACTACGGAAATAATTTGTCTTCAAAACTTTAAAATCCTTCTCTTCAGTGACATTATTATCCTCATTCTGGAGTTTACCTTGTACACAAAGTCCTGTTCCGTTACTGCAGTGCTTCTCCAGAATCAGCTCCTAGAACACAAGAAATAGCAGTGGGAGTTGTTGGTCATACACCGAAGAATGTGATCATATTTTGACATACGATTTAAATTTGTGTAAGTTTCAACACACCTGTTCTGTAATTAGCCTTTCCAAAAGTGCTTGCGTCTGTCGTTTGTTGGCGTGGTCTTCCTCCGGCGTATCCAGGATGTCCACCAGCGCCTCCCTCTTGTGCAAGTGCAGCAGAACAAACATGTACACATATGGGCAGGACATGCTTACCCTTTTCAGGAACACCTCGTGTCATCACTGATTTTCAGTAATCCATTCACACAATTTTCACCGTTATTTTGGATCTGTTTCGGAGGATAATCGAGACTGGTTGTTCTCAGGCGCTGACGTTTAATAATTTACATCTTGGGTGTTCATATTGCATATGAGACACCAAGGGAGGTAACTATTGCTAGAATTGGATGTCGGTCTAATCCAGAAAGATCTCGCAACCGGACTTAAATCTCTTTCCCACGCAAGTCCAGCTTAGTACAGATTCCACTAAAAGTACATGACCTATATGACTGACTGACCTGTTTTCAATATGGAAACAAATATATATAGGTCATTCGTGCGGATCTGGGAGCTGGGACCTTCGTTATTTCGAATATTTTGGGGGTTCCTGAGCCATCAGATATTTTTTCTGAAAGTAAAGGATGATCAATTTATATATTCCCTTATACAGGATCTCCAGCATATCCAGAGTACACTAACCTATTCTGTAAAATCGGAGGAAAAATAAGCTTTTTTTCTAAAACGTCGCTAAAAACTCCAGCCCAACCCACTAGGGTAAGCCAACGCGTTGACAATTAGGCTACCATCATTTTAAAATATCACTTAAAAAAAGCATGTTATTACTTTTCAACTCATCGCCTTTGTAATGTATAGGTCATTCGTGCGGATCTTAAGGGTACGGGCTGGGACCTTCGTTATTTCGAATAGTTTTGGGGTTCCTGCACCATCAGATGTTTTCTCTGAAAGTAAAAGGGGCGGTCGGGTAGCCTAGTGGTTAGAGCGTTCGATCGTCACGCCGAAGACCCGGGTTCGATTCCCGACATGGGTACAATGTATGAAGCCCATTTCTGGTGTCCCCCGCCGTGATATTGCTGGAATATTGCTAAAAGCGGCGTAAAACCATACTCACTCACTCACTGAAAGTAAAAGATGATCAATTTATATATACACAACGCCCTCGCGGTCAACGGCTGTAAGAATACTGATAAGGTTATAGAAAATATTCACTCGCACATTTATTCTCTAACTTTCTTGTCATGTAAGGCGGTATTAGTCTGGTAGCCCCAGGTTACCTTTGAAACGGTCCCTTAGATAAAATGAAACACCTCTCCTCTGTGAAATGATCGATTTCTTCCCTAAATCTGTATGTTTAAAAAAGAACAGCAGCCAAAGAAGGGAGCTCGACTCGTTTGAGCTTTGTGTTCATAATACCGTAAAAATCGATTGACAATTTACAAAAGCAAAGTATTTGGTGTGTCGAAAGGTAAATGATTTGAGATCTGGGAGTATAATACAAACGTCACCGCCAGAGAATAATCAGTTTCAATTGTCTGTCGAAAAAAAAAAATTCCGGGGGTTGTAAAAGGGAAAAGAGTGAAAATAATATGAATGGATCACTAAATCAGTGCTGAATTCATATGTTCGCGAAAGAGGTAGTACTAAACAAATAATATTTCATAATTAGTGTTTGCATGTTGCCTAACGTCGCACCCAGCAACACTCGTGCCATAACACGGCGGCATCTTATAGCATCTGGGGCGGTCGGGTAGCCTAGTGGTTAAAGCGTTCGCTCGCCACGCCGAAGACCCGGGCTCGATTCTCGACATGGGTACAATGTGTGAAGCCCATTTATGGTGTCCCCCGCAGTGATATTGCTGGAATATTGCTAAAAGCGGCGTAATACCATACTCACTCACTCACTCTTATAGCATCTTGACCAGACAGACCAGTGAACTATGTCGTGAGCCATTCCGTTTCGTCGGGGTACAACACCATCAAAGAAAATGCCACGATATATTAATGGGCATTCTTAAGCTTTTGAAGATCGGTGCAAAAATCAGCATTACTATGGGAGAGTTATGTAACGATAAGCGACCAGCAGATGTCGGAGAGTGAACGCGAACTGTACAGGACCACTACGTCACAGATAACGAAGCACCCATTCCTATCTCCACGTCTACCTTGGTTTGGAGACTGGGGCACCGTGACTTCAGGAGTCGTATTCTCTCCTGTTGGTCCTGGTACTGCTGTCGGAGAAGCTCCTCCTCATTGAACTGCCGGACAGTGAACACAACAAACACTACATTGTGAACAATGAACAGCACAGCCGCGAGGACAAATAATGCCCGAGACGTTCCTCCCGTGGACTCCCTCATCGCCGTGTGTCCTTCCTTATCAGCCGCCTTTAATTAGTAGGTCACCGTTTTGTGAGATTAGACAACAAACATTAATGTCCAAACATGAATGTTTTTTGTGCGTACACTATGGGACCAGATGATAAGATATGTTGAGAATATCTATGTTTCCTTCTACAAGGTGCTGCAAGTGTTTCCAGGTCGATGGTCAAATGTGAAATGATTAAAATTGCACACATGCTATATCAGTACATATGAACATGTTACAGTTATGTCACTTACTTACATGAGTTAATTTACGCCTGTGGTATAATGACATTCGTGGGTATTATTGAGAATGTGAACGGGGTCTTTGGGTGGTACTACAATCAGCAATCAGAATCTTAAGCCACAAAGCCCAATAGTTCTTGCTCAGTTCATAACAAAATTGTTACTTCTTCCTGTTTTTGTGTTATGTCATTCGCGGTTTCGGAAACAGGGTCTTATTATAAAGCTGAAAGTTTCATATAGTTATAGCTCGTTTTACACCAAAGCCATTTGTATTTGAATCGACTAACTTCCGGTTTGATAAAACACTTTCTTACTCCAATGAAACCTTAATTCTGAGTGAGTGAGTGAGTTGGGTTTAATGCCGCTTTTAACAGTATTCCAGTTACATCACGGCGTGTCAGCTTAATGTGGGAGGAAAGCCCGAAGTGATGCAGGTCTGAGACGTTTACCACTTCGGTGAAACCCACGAGCACGGGTATGGTGCTGACAAACCTAGAAACATAATCGGGGCGAACCGGTATAGGAACCCACAACCATAGGTTTCTGGCGTGCCCAAGGGACGCAACTCTGCACAGCGAATCGCGGCGCCTCAGACGACTGGGCCACCCGTGCCCCCAACTACAAACAGGAAATATAATTCTGAACGTCCCATGGATCTATCTCAGTTTATTGGCACTTTAAGTTTGGATTATGTCACTTCCGGTGTAGGGAAACACTTCCTCACTCGATTCGGATTGAAAATGGAATTCTCATGGTTCTAGCTTAGTTCCTTACAAAGTGTTGAGTACTTCCGGTTTGGATTATGTCACTTGTGGTTTCAGAAAACAGATGCTCATTATATTATAACTCCAAAGGTGAAAGGATTATGGCTGTGCCTTACCTTGTGACCCGTGAAGATCCGGGGTAGAACAGGTCTTCAGCAACCCATGCTTGCCGTAATAGGCGACTATGCTTGTCGTAAAAGAGGTGCCTAATGGGATCGGGTGGTCAGGCTAGCTGACTTGGTTGATGTATGTCATCGTATCCATTTGCGTAGATAGATGCTCATGCTGTCAATCATTGGACTGCCTGGTCCAGACTCGATTATTTACAGACCGCCGTCATATGGCTGGAATATTGCTGTGTGCGGCCTTAAACAAACCTTACCGTGTAACTAAGTTATTTGTGCTTCCTATTTGGATTATGTCACTTTCGCTTTTGAACTAAAGAATACCTGCCGGACACATTTCAACTGAAAGTCCAATAACTTCACCTCAAGTGATTGCAAAGCTCATATTTAAGGATTTAAATATTTCACTCGGTGTTTTCGGGAAACATGAACCTTAGATCAAAAGAACCCATCACTCAAGTACAGTCAACAACATTGAAAAGTCTATGGCACAAGGTGAAAAAGGCTCAAAGTTCATTGTAATTCCCGTCATATGTATTTAAGTATCACACTACCTTTAAGAAGAAAGCGTTCACAATAATGTGCTTGCGAGAATAAATAAACAAATTGCCAAGGTTTTGTTTTATTTTACACCAGATCCTCCGTCGATGTGAAGGCTGTTAATGGGAGTATTTGCCATATTTTATTGACGCCTCGTCTTTGTGTCAAAAGGAGTGTCAATAAAATACGTTGAAACTGCCTTTATACTGACGGAGGAACAGGTCATGCAGTATTATTAGAAGCTTCACTACCGTAGCACTAGATTTGAAATTGATCAGTGTTACATGCCAAATCTGTAAGGCGTTTTCAAATAGCATCCGAGATATATGATGTTTTATGCTGCTTTTATTATAAATTAATGCCTTCAGACAGTTTTCAATTGTTCAATCCAATATGGCGGCCAAAGGACGTCACAACTAAGAACTATGTTCAGCGTCAATTGACGCCAATAAAGATATGAATTTCTAAAGCACACTTTTAAGTATACATCTTTAATGGCGGCAACCCATCTCTGCAAATTATGAAGTTACTGCCACTGCTCGATTCAGAGGAAACGATTGCAGAAGATTACTTCCCTACAAAAAAAGTCAAATAAGCTCTGAACATGTTGAAACCAATATGGCCGCCACATCACGTGATTTTCTACATATGACCCAGACCCTACATTCGCCCAGAAGTATGGCGGCCATCGAAGACATATCTCAACATGTTTTCTGACAATCTTGCAGGATGGTGCATGGACACAAAGTATGTAGAGTTCGGATAGGTATGATAGGAAAGTTCAATGGATCAGATTTGGGCAGACAAGTACTGAGAAAAATGGCAATATGCATGACCAAGACTTTCAATCTAACATGCCTGCCAAACGATGCCATTAAGCGACATCTCCAGTAGTCCCATTTTGGCAAACCTACACAAAACTAACTACACACAGCTAGTTTAGGCTTAGCTAAATGCCAGTCCTGGAGATCTACAGGATGGAGCATCTGTTTATGGTATAGTTGCTGGTAAAAGTGAATTATATTTTAATTATCTGCTCTTAGTTATTATTCCTAGAGCTTTAGGAATTTTGTGTTCTGGTCCAGATGCTGCTGATTTGCTTGGTGTGCTCTCTTGCAACGCAAAACTGCACAGGGTATGACCCAGTCTTAGGGTATGACCCAGTCTTAGAACATTCTGAAAAGGGGTCACATGTAGTTATATATGTAACAAATATTACTAAAGTTAACATTAAGATACCCATAGTTTTGAGTAGTTCCAAATAAGTCTTCAAAACGCAAAGTTTTTCAAAAAGAAGTTGACAAATAACCCTCAAAACGAAGTCCAAAGATACATGTTTAAATTTCATCGCAACCTGTTGTGCACTGATAGGACTCACCAAGTCATTTCTTAGAAATCAGCGCGACAAGTCATCTCTTGGAAATCGAATATGCCATTTCCATTGTGGGGGTGACAGGTTGTAGAAATAGTTTTAAAAAATGCTAAACGAATATGTTTCTCTTACAAACTTTATGAATTAACATTCTACTAATTATTTTACATGTGTAAGTCTTATAAGTTAGTTAGCAATTACCCCAAGGGAATAATAAAAAATCATAATAAATGCCTCTCCATCCCGAATTTGGATGTGGCAGAACTTGACCTACATCCCGGTTACCCACACCTCACAACTGTAAATGGTTGCCAATGTTGTTGTTTACATTCCTCTTGCCTCAGACAATAACACCAAGCAAGATCACAACGCCGATCTATGATGTGGTTCAACATTAACCTGTAGATTTACTGGGAATGAGCCTGCTAGTACAATGTGATTACCAATGAACTAGAGTATGACTGAACAGTCGCTTTTTAGGCTGCAAAGGAGCCGGCTGATTTGACAGAAGGGGTCTCATTTCACCTGTCAATTTCAAGATTTCACGGATTTAACGCGTGTGTGAAAGAAAATTAAAATGATACTAGGCGGTCCAGAAACAGTGGATCGTGTATGATTTTCTTAACTGTGCCTGTTCTGAAATGAATTTCATCATGTTTGATAAGTTGCTATGATCAAGTGTGCTGTGACTTCAATGGTTTCACCTTTCTTAGTGAGGAGTGTTTTCTGATCGACTTTCAAATCCCCTTCTGCCAAATCCTAACGGTGGTGGTTGATGGAGATGACAATGGACAGCGATCACGAAAAACTGTGTAAACATGTTTGTGCCGTTACAAGTGACAGTGATATTATATTTAGTGGATCGCAATCATGCGCTCCGCTTAGGACCGGAAGTGCTAGTTTAGAACGTTCGTCCGTGGCAACAGCGACATTGGTTCCTTGGGTTCCCACAGTGGTTTTCAGCATTGCATGCTATATCAGGTCGAATTTCAGCCATCCATGGTCTAAGTTTATTAATTATATCGTTAAGAACCTTTTAGATATGTTTTGGATGTAGCTTATGCTATATTTTGTGTTTATTCGGTATGTTAAAATTCTAGTGTACAATGTAGCATCAGAAACCACGTGTAAATCTTATGATGCGCACTTAAAATCTCCACGTAGTGTTTTTTAGATGTTTGCTGTTTTGGGATATGCTTAATGATTGCTCTGACGCTTCTTTCAGTATATATACTATGCTGGGATGACTCGGATTTCTATAAAGTTATAGTCTACCACACAGCGGTAAAAGTACCAACGTACATGTGTGTTTGCCTTATTGCAAAAGGAGTAATTCCTTTGTTTTGTTTTGTCGTAGCATTTTACCAAATACAACCATCTAACGTGCGCAGAAGTAATAAACTTTGAATCTGGGATCTCAATTTTGTCCAGTATTTTACAAGACTGTGCCTTAGTGTTGGATCGGTAAACTGATGACTGCTTGAATCTAAATTACGTTTGGGAAGACATTACAATGTTCCCATGAATAAAGTTCTTCTTCAAACATTTTTTAAATAATTATATATGTTACTTTCATTGTCGGTTGTTTCATTGAGGAAATAGCCTGTTCTGATTCTGGTCGGCATAGATAATGTCCCTAACAGTTTCATAAACATTTCATTTGTATGCAAAAGATATGCCTTCGTAAAGTCTTGTAATGTCATTATCGAAGCATTTAGGGTTACAGCCAGGAACATCATATCCGATATCAAACTACCGTATTTCCTCTAGGCCCCTATTAGGTGGTCTATTAATTTCACGAGAGCAGTTGACCTGGCTTGTATTATTAGAGACCTATCGTGTAATAGGAAAAATATTGAAGTTTTACAGTTTCTATTGGGTGATCGATCGGCAGCCATTTTTTATGAATCGATATGTAGGCCATCGAAGTAATAATGCACACGTTTGTTTTGTGTGAGGCATATATTTAAAAGGGGTCTCCGTAGCAAAAAGGAAACCTCTTTTAAACCAATCAGAATCAAGCATTCTTCAGTGTCATGGTAGAGTAGTGATAAATTAAATATTTACGCTGTGCTGTATCCATGTCCAAAGCATTATCCTGGAACTAAACAGTTGTTAGCCTACCAATAATTCAGTGTGCACTCAAATTACATCTTCAACCAAAGTTCCTTAATTGCTAGATGTGCACAGAGCTCATAAACCAAGGGCCCATTCGCTGCTGTGATGCTACACACATTGTTTCTATTTCAAACAAAGACTGGATTGAGGTAAAACAAATGATTCCTAGTGAGTTAGTTGGGTTTAATACTGATTTGAACAGTATTGCTGAAATTCCGAACTACAGGCGCTTAAGTGGGAGTCCATGTGAGGTTTAATGATGGAAACTCAATGATTTTTATTGTTTATTAGCTATGAGTGCAATGTTCCTGGGAGATACATTCTCCTGGAATATGGGCACGAGTTGAGCAGCGACGCCATGGTCCGTGAGGTATGTGTGTCTGTCTAGTTGAAGCAGCGTCTCCAGGACCGGCTGAACAAGCACCTGCAGACACTGACAGAACAGAACATAGTTAGTACAAGCACCTGCAGACACTGAGAGAACAGAACATAGTAAGTACAAGCACCTGCAGGCACTGACAAACAGAACATGGTAGTAGCACCTGCAGACACTGACAGAACAGAACATAGTCAGTGCAAGCAACAGCAGACACTGACAGAATTGACCATAGTTAGTACAAGCACCTGCAGACACTGAGAGAACAGAACATAGTTAGTACAAGCACCTGCAGACACTGAGAGAACAGAACATAGTTAGTACAAGCACTTGCAGGCACTGACAAACAGAACATGGTAGTAGCACCTGCAGACACTGACAGAACAGAACATAGTCAGTGCAAGCACCTGCAGACACTGACAGAATTGACCATAGTTAGTACAAGCACCTGCAGGCACTGACAAACAGAACATGGTAGTAGAACCTGCAGACATTGACAGAAAAGAACATAGTCAGTACAAGCACCTGTAGACACTTACAGAACATAGTAGCAGCACCTGCAGACACTGAGATGCCATAGTCTCACAGAACACAATAAGGAGTCCGGACAAGTGGTGTCTGGCAAACCACAAACCATCTTCCCGAGGCAAGAGAGTTAACTGACTTTAAAAGTCCAGTTTCCACCCTTGCCGAACTAGGCTGGTATTTCTGGGCTCGATCGTAGCGCCACCAGTGGCTATTACGAGTAATGTCCTTTCTATGCCTCTCCTATTGACCAATCAGATTCAACCTCTTGTATCACTAGCATTTGCTTCAAACAAAACGGTGGCGCCCAGTCAAGACGATCTGATCGATAATCAAGATCTATATTGTGATCAAACGAGTCTTACATCGCGAAGTGCATAAAATCACGTGAGCACCTTGATTAAAAACATGAAAAGATTTAGAAAATATCTGTTGACACCGAGTTAGCAGTGCAAATGCTTGCAAATCCTGCAGTCGACCGAACTATGCATGACACTTTACGAACCGAATTTCGATTTCGGTGCGCGATTTTGTAACTCCATAATACCAGCCTAGTTCGTTAAGGGTGGAAACTGGACTTTTATAGTCAGTTAACTCACTTGCCTCGGGAAGATGACCACAAACTGGAGTAGCACGGAGCTGTTACATCTGCAGCCACCTAGAGGGGCTGGTTAAACTGTTTATCTGGTTTCAACTTTAATCAACAGCTACTCACAGTCATGACCTCCACATAGCAGAAGTGTTGAACGTGTCTCGTGTGCAGCTCTTGAAGGTGACGCAAATATTCAGCCCTGACCTCATTGCTGACATCTGAAAAGCAAGAGCAGTCACAGACACATGGTGAGTGAGTGAGTGAGTTAGGTTTTTAATGCCGCTTTGAACAGTATTCCAGTTACATCACGGAGTGTCAGCTAAATATGGGTGGAAAGCCCCAAGTGATGCAGGTCTCAGACATTTACCACTTCGGTGAAACCCATGAGCATGGGTATGGTGCTGACAAACCTAGAAACATAATCGGTTTTCAGTTTATATAATGCTCATGACAACCCTAAGTTTCTTTGTTTTTAGCTGAACGCCGCACTCAGCAATATTCCAGCTGTATGGCGGCGGTCTGTAAGTAATTGAGTCTGGACCACATGACAACATGAGCATCAATCCACGCAATTGGGATCAATGACATACATCAACCAAGTCAGCGAGCCTAACCACCCAATCCCATTGGTCGCCTTTTACGACAAGCATAGTCACCTTTTTCGGCAAGTATGGGTAGCTGAAGACCGATTCTACCCCGGATCTTCACAGGCAGACAACCCTAAGATTCCCTTTAAGCCACAAATGGCTAATGGTCCTACAAATGTGAGTGGAGGTTGTACACCGCGGTAAGTACTAATCTAGACACATGTAGAGTGCATACCCATGGAAAAAGTCATACCATCAAACTGAGGAACAAATTCACCAACTACAATCTATCTCATGTAAAAGTTCCTTTGGGCAGCACACCTTTTCTGTCTTGTGCTTGGAACAGTTAGTTGTTTCTAAATGCATATCAAAGAATGCTACTGGTAATGATGAACTGGGAGGCCTACCAAGGCCTGTAACGATGGCCAGGGAGGACTACGAAGGCCTGTAATATTGAACTGGGAGACTTACAAAAACTTGTATTGATGAACTGGGAGACTTACGAAGACCTGTGACGATGAACTGGGGGACTTACGAAGGCCTGTAATATTGAACTGGGAGACTTACAAAAACTTGTAATGATGAACTGCGAGACTTACGAAGACCTGTGACGATGAACTGGGGGACTTACGAAGGCCTGTAATATTGAACTGGGAGACTTACAAAAACTTGTAATGATGAACTGGGAGACTTACGAAGACCTGTGACGATGAACTGGGGGACCTGCCTAGACCTGTGACGATGGACTGGGAGACCTACCTAGACCTGTGACGATGGACTGGGAGACCTGCCTAGACCTGTGACGATGGACTGGGAGACCTACCTACACCTGTGACGATGAACTGGGGGACCTGCCTACACCTGTGACGATGAACTGGGAGACCTACCTAGACCTGTGACGATGGACTGGGAGACCTACCTAGACCTGTGACGATGGACTGGGGGACCTACCTAGACCTGTGACGATGGACTGGGAGACCTACCTAGACCTGTGACGATGGACTGGGAGACCTACATGGACCTGTGACGATGGACTGGGAGACCTGCCTAGACCTGTGACGATGGACTGGGAGACCTACCTAGACCTGTGACGATGGACTGGGAGACCTACCTAGACCTGTGACGATGGACTGGGAGACCTACCTAGACCTGTGACGATGGACTGGGAGACCTACCTAGACCTGTGACGATGGACTGGGAGACCTACCTAGACCTGTGACGATGGACTGGGAGACCTACATGGACCTGTGACGATGGACTGGGAGACCTACCTAGACCTGTGACGATGGCCTGGGAGACCTGCCTAGACCTGTGACGATGGACTGGGAGACCTACCTAGACCTGTGACGATGGACTGGGAGACCTACCTAGACCTGTAACAATGGACTGGGAGACCTACCTAGACCTGTGACGATGGACTGGGAGACCTACCTAGACCTGTGACGATGGACTGGGAGACCTACCTAGACCTGTGACGATGGACTGGGAGACCTACCTAGACCTGTGATGATGGACTGGGAGACCTACCTAGACCTGTGACGATGGCCTGGGAGACCTACCTAGACCTGTGACGATGGATGTGGAGAAAGCATCAAAGCTGGAGAAGTCTGCCTTCCTGATGACTTTTCTGTCCAGTTGGCCGACCTCAGCTGACACAAGAGTTAGTGAGTGAGTGAGTTAGGATTAACTGTACAAGGAACAATTGGACACTGGCTTGTGTAGGTAAATGTTAGATCACGTGTGACACATAATAATATTGATCTGTGTTCATTGATCCATATGTCACAATCTGGCATGCTGCAGTCCAATGACTTGTTGATAACTTCATCAATAATTGATTACAGTCATCAAATACCCTAGAAGTTCAATCACTCAAAAATATTTATGAACGCTTGCATGCAGTTTCAAATGCAACAATAAAGCATTGGGTGAAGGAATTTCAGCATGGGAGCAGTGTTTGAAATCATTATTAAACCCCAAAAGACAGTTGGGCAGGTGACCCATAAATGTTGCCTGCCAATCTTCAAAGTTGCCTGCCCACATTTACACATTATAAATATTGAAAAATCTTTAAAAAATAAGACAAATCACATCTTGATTCAGTTGAAATAATGCAAACAATTACTCCAGAATCTACAAGGAGTGATAATAAAACCAAATACATAAGTAGTCTTAAAATTATCGGCAAGACAGTCAGGCAGGTGGAGGAAAACTTCATGCAGCCCAACAGAAATGTTGTCAGCCACGGGCAGGTGGGCAGGCAATTATTTTGGACACTAATTGGAGAGAGAGTTTGGAAGATGATCAACCACCAGTACCAGAAAAGAAAACATTGACGCCATCCACAGCCTGGTTATATTCTCCTATGGGTGTACGGAAACAATCCTTGATGAACATCTACACACCCACACCCGGGGTACGATGACCTGTCATCAACCAAGATACCAAGGCTGATCACCAGATGCATTTAGCTGCCTCTTACGACCAGCATAGGCTGCTAAATCAGCATCCTCACAGAGGCAAAAGTTTTAGATACCCCTTCGTATTTGATTCATATCACCTTGTGTCAGCTTCACGTGGGAGGAAATCTGAATGATGCATGTCTTAGACCTTACCACTTTGATGAAACCCACAGGCACAGGTTGGTGCTGACAAACCTGGAATCAAGGCGGATCTGGGATTCAAACCCATAAACCCATGATTGATGCTCTACACTAGGGATGAAAGCCCAAAGTGATGCAAGTGTTAGAGGTGTAGACATTTATATTTAACCTGGGTAGCCATTTTGCCTCTGATCAACACAGTGGGTAAAGAAAACAGTATTAACAATTAATTGTTTACACAATATGAGATATGAGTGTTCAAACTGATTGGCTTTACCCAAATTACAAGTAATCCCTCGTCTTCAGGCTACAATAGGTGATTAAATATTTACCATCCACTCACCTTCCATAAAGAATGCCTCTAGTATCCCTCTATAAGCAACATGTCTAACATGGGTGTCGTGGTCTGTCTCCGTCTGAGCCTTCCATCGAGACCTGGCGACAATACCATACAGTCAACAACATCAGAGAGTCAACAATATCAGACATTCAACAATATCAGAGAGGTAACAACATCAGACAGTCAACAATATCAGACAATCAACAACATCAGAGAGGTAACAATATCAGACAGTCAACAACATCAGAGAGGTAACAATATCAGACAGTCAACAATATCAGACAGTCAACAACATCAGACAGTCAACAATATCAGACAGTCAACAACATCAGAGAGGTAACAATATCAGACAGTAAACAATATCTGACAGTCTACAATATCAGACAGTCAACAACATCAGACAGTCAACAATATCAAACAGTCAACAATATCAGACAGTCAACAATATCAGACAGTCAACAATATCAGACAGTCAACAACATCAGACAGTCAACAATATCAGAGAGGTAACAACATCAGTCAACAATATCAGAGAGGTAACCACATCAGACAGTCAACAATATCAGACAGCCAACAATATCAGACAGTCAACATTATCACAGTTAACAATATCAGAGAGGTAACAATACTATACATAAATTCTACTGTTCACTAATAACAACGTCCATTCGTTATTCTCAGTGGGTCTCAAGTCTCAAGTCTCAAGTTTCCTGGGATGCTAGTCTCAAGGAGGCCACATACCTAGTTTCCTGGGCTGCTAGTCTCAAAGAGGCCACATACCTAGTTTCCTGGGCTGCTAGTCTCAAGGAGGCCACATACCTAGTTTCCTGGGCTGCTTGTCTCAAGGAGACCACATACCTAGTTTCCTGGGCTGCTAGTCTCAAGGAGACCACATACCTAGTTTCCTGGGCTGCTGGTCTCAAGGAGACCACATACCTAGTTTCCTGGGCTGCTGGTCTCAAGGAGGCCACATACCTAGTTTCCTGGGCTGCTAGTCTCAAGGAGACCACATACCTAGTTTCCTGGGCTGCTAGTCTCAAGGAGACCACATACCTACTTTCCTGGGCTGCTAGTCTCAAGGAGACCACATACCTAGTTTCCTGGGCTGCTGGTCTCAAGGAGGCCACATACCTAGTTTCCTGGGCTGCTAGTCTCAAGGAGGCCACATACCTAGTTTCCTGGCTGCTAGTCTCAAGGAGACCACATACCTAGTTTCCTGGGCTGCTAGTCTCAATGAGGTGACATACCTAGTTTCCTGGGCTGCTAGTCTCAAGGAGACCACATACCTAGTTTCCTTGGCTGCTAGTCTCAAGGAGACCACATACCTAGTTTCCTGGGCTGCTAGTCTCAAGGAGACCACATACCTAGTTTCCTGGGCTGCTAGTCTCAATGAGGTGACATACCTAGTTTCCTGGGCTGCTAGTCTCAAGGAGACCACATACCTAGTTTCCTGGGCTGCTAGTCTCAATGAGACCACATACCTAGTTTCCTGGGCTGCTAGTCTCAATGAGGTGACATACCTAGTTTCCTGGGCTGCCAGTCTCAAGGAGACCACATACCTAGTTTCCTGGGCTGCTGGTCTCAAGGAGGCCACATACCTAGTTTCTTGGGGTGCTAGTCTCAAGGAGACCACATACCTAGTTTCCCAGGCTGCTTGTCTCAATGAGGCCACATACCTAGTTTCTTGGGCTGCTAGTCTCAAGGAGACAACATACATAGTTTCTTGGGCTGCTAGTCTCAATGAGGTGACATACCTAGTTTCTTGGGCTGCTAGTCTCAAGGAGACCACATACCTAGTTTCCTGGGCTGCTGGTCTCAAGGAGACCACATACCTAGTTTCCTGGGCTGCTAGTCTCAAGGAGACCACATACCTAGTTTCCTGGGCTGCTAGTCTCAAGGAGGCCACATGGCTAGTTTCCTGGGCTGCTAGTCTCAAGGAGACCACATACCTAGTTTCTTGGGCTGCTGGTCTCAAGGAGGCCACATACCTAGTTTCCTGGGCTGCTAGTCTCAATGAGGTGACATACCTAGTTTCCTGGGCTGCTAGTCTCAAGGAGGCCACATACCTAGTTTCCTGGGTTGCTAGTCTCAAGGAGATCACATACCTAGTTTCCCCGGATGCTGGTCTGAAGGAGGCCACATACCTAGTTTCCTGGGCTGCTAGTCTCAAGTAGGCCACATACCTAGTTTCCTGGGCTGCTAGTCTCATGGAGACCACATACCTAGTTTCCTGGGCTGCTAGTCTCAAGGAGACCACATACCTAGTTTCCTGGGCTGCTAGTCTCAAGCTGACAGGGTGAAGGCTCCAGCCAGGGTGTTGGCGTTTCATGTCAGCGTAGGCTTCCCGACAATTCTCACTCAGAGGAAAGCTGTTGAACTGGCTGGTATCTGAGGAGAAATACAAGCTATTGAAGGAACAGTCATATCATCATGATCATAGTAAATCATGAAGTTCATCAGCCTTGTGTCTAAGTGTGGGGACGTTTTTCTGTTGGTTGCTAGGATTCGTTAATTTCTAATTTGTTATTTTCTAGGAAAATAGTGCGTGAGTGAGTATGGTTTTATGCCACTTTGGCATTGTGTATTCATAGCTTTCGGCCATGGGAGCCGTGCCAATTTACACTTGTCAGAGAGGTACTCAAAGTACGTGATCTAGACTACCAGTTGTCGGACTTTCATTTTTGTGGAAGCCTCGGTGGCTGAGTGTTTTAGATCGCTGACTTTGTGTGCTGGCGATTAGGTGCCTCACTCTGGCAAGTGTGGGTTCGAATCCCGGACGGGACTCAACCCCAAAAAAGTACGAGAATCTGTACTTTACTAAGAAAGTGTTATCCCAAATATAACATCGGTTACATTTGACCACTTTCTAAATGGCATTGTGTATTCACATATACATTGTATTAGTATAGATATTTTTTTTACAAAAATCCTCATATGGGGTAATTAAGTAAATTAATAATTGACTTAAACTTTCTTTTTGCATTTATGGAGTTATAAACATAAGAACCGGTGTGCATACAGGTTTTATATTTATAACTACATAATGCAAAAACATATTGACGTCGATTCTTATAAAGAAATATACCAACAATGATAACTTCACAGACTGCTTATTCAATCATTAGCACACAAAAAACTGTAGACAATATGAAATCAGCAACATTCAGCGCAAAAATGCAACACAAGCCCCGCCCACTCTTTTATGAGCCAATCAGGAGTCAGTAGTCTGTTAGCGGGGGTGGACTAAATATTTTGGGTTTATGGAAACATCAACGTAAAAGAAAGGGCATGATTAGCTAATCAAATCCAATGCTGATTTTAGCAATATTTCTGCAATATCACAGCAAGGGAACACCAGAAATGGGCTTCACACATTGTACCCATGTGGGAAATCGAACCCGGGTCCTCAGTGTGCGAGAGAATGCTTTAACCACTGGGCTATCCCACCTCCCTGTGTTTGTGTTAACTTTACAAGCCATTTATTAATTGGTTAGTTATTAATGAGGGACTGACAGACAGGCAGTTGGACAGTCAACAAACAACATGCGACAATATGAGCTCACTTGAGTTCAGTCAGGTGAGTTAAATATATAGGATGGATATCTAATCATTTAAATGTATTATTACCCTTAAAGTTAGAAATAATCAAGTTCATAATAAATGTATGTGCACTTGCGCAAATATCACTTCTCCTGCACCAGTATATGGTTTCAGTCACCCGAACAACATTCAAATCTTACTGTGACGAATGACCATGATGACGTCACACTAGAAATTATGTCTGTAGTGTATATGCAAACAAAGGTTTGTAATTATATGCATATGTATGGGTCAGAGGTCAGGGTCTCGTTTGGGGGATTGACCATGTGCGAGCCAGTATCAATGGCGGCGCCCTGTATTCATTACATTGACGACAAATAAAAGTCTTCGTTTCACTCCTTCAAGGATCATATCATTTATCAACAGAGCAAGGATCATTCAAGAACATTATAACGTCCTTCGACAAATTGTGGTTTTCCAGGAAAGGGGAGCTCCAAAGGATTAGTATGACACACATGCTCGTATAATAATCTCTATTTGTGACCTACCTTCATCAAAGGACATCTTGTGGTAACAGCAGCTCACAAGACACAGTGCCCGGACACTGGACATGTGCAGGAAGTACCAAAGCATTGTGGGAGTTAGGTCCCCGCAGCAGTGAAGGCCGATCATACACACACGTCTCTCTTCAGATGAAAGTGCAGCAACAGGCACATGACTCGTCTCTGCTTCACCTCCAGGATATTCTTGCCGGATGTCATTTTTAGGCAGGTTCGGTGATGTTTGAGTTGATTCATTTCCACCAGGACACATTCCAGAGGCATTAACAACAGTCCTGGCTGTGTTATCAGACACATCATTGCATAAACAGATATTCCTTCCACGATATATCCTTTGACATACTTCCATCCCAGAATATTTATTGTCCAAATTTGGGTTCTCATCTTGAGGACTAACACCAGCCTGGCATCGTGTGTCCCTTTCAGATTTCAGTTTTGAATCAACTTGACATGGATTCTGAACTGCTGTCTGTGAGTGAACACATGGCTTTAGACTTCTCAGAGCCTTGGATACTTTGTCATGAAACACGTTGAGATGTTCCCCTGTCTGCTGTAGGTTGAAGGTGACATTGTGAATGCAGCCATCTTGGAGATCTGAAATAATTATTCAGTAGGAGCTAAACAATAGGGATTGACATTTATAACTTTCTGGGGGTTGAAGCCATCCTCAATATCTCCAATATCTCGCATTTTGGTAAACCGACACCAGGCCCTGGATCCAATCACAAGGTTTTAGCGATCTTAAATTACCTGCCCCTTATTTTCATGTACATTTTACCGACCCATTCGTCACCACTCACCCCTTTCCGTAACCTGCAAGAAGACTCGTCCCCCTATCGATGAATGTTGTGTGCCAAAATACGACAAACCAATCAGAATGTGCATAAGATTTCAAGTTCTTCGTCAAAGAATCCCTCCGAAATAATTTTGGATTTTACATATGTCTTGCATCTAAAAATATACCCAAGACACAGTTAAATGTGTTCAATCATACTGTATAGTTCCGCACGTCCCGATGTGCTTTAAATTGCATCTGAAATATATATAATATATGAGGAAAGATATGTGAGCCATTACGTAACGAGTTGACAATTGTTTTAGGTATGCCCATTTGCGTTAAGACGGTACCCGGTCGCAAAAATGGCCATGAGAGGGGCACGAGTTGCTATTCGGTTTGTCCCGGAATAACACAAGTTTGCTACGAATGTTAACCGACCAATCAAACGTCAAGATAAGGAAAAAGAAAATGAGTAAGGGAGGTAACCCGTATTGCCTAGAAACCAAAGCCACCGCCAGATTTAATGGACATGAAGACATCCTATACATCAAAAAGATGAATTTCTCTCAAACTCTATCATAATCAGTGGGAGTGGCCATCATGCTGCTGATATCGCCCACCCAACATGGAGGCTGGTTTTTAACTGGCAATTCTGATTGGTATGTTAGATTTAGTAGCATAGCCAAACAAATTGTGAGTGAGATTGTGAGTGAGTGAGTGAGTTGGGTTTTACGCCGCTTTTAACAGTATTCCAGTTATATCACGGGGTGTCAGCTTAAATGTGGGAGGAAAGCCCGAAGTGATGCAGGTCTCAGACGTTTACCACTTCGGTGAAACCCACGAGCACGGGTATGGTGCTGACAAACCTAGAAACATAATCGGGGCAAACCGGGATTCGAACCCACAATCATAGGTTTCTGGCGTGCCCAAGGGACGCAACTCTGCACAGCGAATCGCAGCGCCTTAGACGACTGGGCCACCCGTGCCCCCAATTTGAGATTGTGAGAACCATGGGAATGAATCCAGGGGTTAGTGTGGGTTTTCTGAAATGCAACCCCTGAAGATATAGAGGATGAGGTGGAGGTGGCTGTGATTTGTGTGAGAGACAAATATTCTTTCGATCACAGCTTCAAGACATACCATTTTTTTCTCATGAAATATATATAGAGTTAAAGGGCGTCAGCAACTGGCAATTAATGACATAACCATTTTTCACAACAACGATAAATTCACCTTTTGACAACAAAATATTCCAGCTGTAAAATGACCAGGCAATCCAGTGATTGACATCATTAGCATCAATCTATGTGAATGAGATACAATGATATGCATCAACCAAGTCAGCAAGCCTGACCACCCATTAATCGCCTCTTACTACAAACATGGGTTGCTGAAGACCTCTTCTTCCCTAGGGACATCCTGGTTGATGCCACGTAGACATGATACCTTGTTTAGCACCTCTCTTCTCAGCCCGCTCCACATGTCCGTCACAACCCTCCACTCCAACCACCGAGTACCCATAGCACTTGTGTAGCACCTGGCCCAGGTAACCCTGCATGGTCAGTTCAAAATAATAACAATAATAATAATAATAATAATAATAATAATAATAGCTTAGACAATGCTGCCAAGTGTTATTTTCAAGGCTTTTTTAATTCAGTTATCAGTCTTAGTCTGTCAAGTATATTTTTTAAATCCGGCACACCATATATTAGTCGTAAGACCTGAGGAGCCGTATCACAAATTTTCCAATAAGATGTAATTTCGCAACCAACAGATAATATACACTAAGCCATACAGTAAACTGGGTTTATAACGAACACGCTTATAATAAACAGTCTTAGTCTGACAAGTATATTTTTTAAATCCGGGACACATATATTTGTGGTAAGACCTGAGGAGACGTATCACAAATTTTCCAATAAGATGTATTTTCACAACCAGCAGATAATATAAACTAAGCCATACATGTATACAGTAAACTGGTTTTATAACAAACACACGTATAATGAACTCACAGATGTAACAACTGTTTTGGGGTCCCGTCCATTTGCTGTTTATATGATGCATATATGCATATAACTAAATATGGTTAGAACAAACTAAAATTGGTGGTTCCTTTGAGTTTGTTATGACCGTAGCTTACTGTATGTCATATGGGATTTTTCATGGCTTTTCAAGGTTGACATTAATAATCAAGGCATTTTAAGAAGGAGCTTAAAATTCAAGGCCTTTTAAAGCCTGCACGAACCTGGCCTTCACATAACACAGACCATCTTAGCGAGGCAAGTGAGTTAACTGACTATAAAAGTCCAGTTTCCACCCTAGGCTGGTATTATGGAGTTACATTTTGGCTGGACTAACGAGTCTATGCATAGTCAAATCAAAATCACGCACCGAAATCGAAATCTGGTTCATGAACTGTCATGCAGATTTCGGTCAATTGCAGAATTTGCAAAGCATGTGCACCGCCTACTCGTTGTCAGCAGATATTTTCCAAATCTTTTAATGTTTTTTATCAAGGTGCTCATGTGATTTGATGCATTTCGCGATGTAAGACTCATTTTATCACAATATAGATCTTGATTATTGATCAGATCGTCCTGACTGGGCGCCACCATTTTGTGTGAAGCAAACGCAAGTGATACAAGAGGTGGAATTTGATTGGTCCATAGGAGAGGCTTAGACAGGACAAACCTGGTAGTAGCCACTGGTGGCGCTACGATCAACCCAGTTGTTCCAGCCTAGTTCGGCAAGGGTAGAAACTAGACTTTTAAAGTCAGTTTACTCTCTTGCCTCGGGAAGATGAACACAACACAGACACAAAAAACACAACACAGACACAACAGAACACAACACAGACACAACATAAGTGAGACAATGGTACCCCGTCTTATGGGTGCAGAGTTTGGCTATTTCTTTTTCCACCATAAAATATGGATAAACATATTTTCTAAAGACTACAATAGATGTCTTACCAATCCTGATCCTATATCTACAATGACATCACAGCCAGCTTTGGATGCAGTTTCCATGACAACAGCAGACATATTAGTAACTTCATGAAGTTTTTTGGGCGACATTCCACGTTTCAGATTTGGGTCTACAGCCTTCTTGCCCAAGATGTTGACTTGATCCCTGATCAGAGACAGTTTGTGTGACATCTGCAGGAACCTCTTCAGTGAAGGAGGGAAGTGAGCCTGTAGGACAGGAAGAGTGAGTGAGTGAGTGAGATGGAGCTGTTTAGAACAGTATTCAAGTTATGTCATGGTGAGTGAGTGTTTGTTTGTTGTTTAACGCCGAACTCAGCAATATTCCAGCTATATGACGGCGGTCTGTAAATAATTGAGTCTGGACCAGACAATCCAGTGATTGATGTCATGAACATCGATCCACGCAATTGGGATACAATGACATGCATCAACCAAGTCAGCGAGCCTGACCACCAGATCCCCTTAGTCGTCTCATACGACAAGCATAGTCGCCTTTTACGGCAAGCATGGGTTGCTGAAGACCTATTCTACCCCGGAATCTTCAGTGGGTGGGTGGGTGAGTGGTTGAGTGGGTGAGTGGGTGAGTGGGTGGGTGAGTGGGTGAGTGAGTGAGTGAGTGAGTGAGTGAGTGAGTGAGTGAGTGAGTGAGTGAGTGAGTGAGTGAGTGAGTGAGTGAGTGAGTGAGTGAGTGAGTGAGTGAGTGAGTGAGTGAGTGAGTGGGCTGACATCCTTCTGGGAACATGCATATGAGGCTTCAGTGCAGTGGACTCAGTGATCTTTTTGGAAAAATTCCAGAAATCAGAGAAAGAGGCCACAACATACGATTACTTAACTTTCTGTCAGTTGAGCTAAACTTGGGTATATCCAAAACAAGTTATTTTATGTGTGGAGTTTCCAACAACATCAGCACAGACAATCAACGACCATGTAAGATGTAAACAGAGAGTTTATTTACCCTTTCCTGATGGAATTCAAAAGGCAGGTGGTTCAACTCCTCCGCAGTCAAGGCCAGCAGAACATCACGCCACTGTCAACATTCAACACAATGTCAGAACATCATGCCACTGTTAACATTCAACACAATGTCAGACTATCACGCCACTGTCAACATTCAACACAATATCAGAACATCACGCCGTTGTCAAAATTCAACACAATATCAGAATATCATGCCACTGTCAACATTCAACACAATGTCAGCACATCACGCCACTGTCAACATTCAACACAATGTCAGAACATTATACCACTGTCAACATTCAACACAATGTCAGAACATCATGCCACTGTCAACAGAATAGTCTAGACTCATTTTTTACAGACCTCAGTCATATAGCTGGAATATTGCGAGGTGCGGCATTAAACAACAAACAAACATTTTACCTCTTGAGGCATATGTCGCCACACTTCGTCTACAAAAAAACGTGTCGTCACAAAGTTGTGTATCCAGGCAAACTCATACAGAAATCTTAGCAGGTCCTGGAACATTGGTTGTTCTCTAGTCTGGAAAGAAAGAATGAGTGAGTGAGTTAACATTTAATGTCACATCAGCATTTTTTCAGCCATATAGCGACAGAAAGAAAAAAGAAAGAATAAAGCCAAAGCATTGCAGTTCACTTCTTTCATTCAAAGTGAGTTGAAAAGTTTACGAAGTGAAATGTTCAGCTGTCAAGTACAGTAAATTCCTCATAGCTTGTTGTTCATCCTCCAATTGATTGAGTTTGTTGTTTGGTCGATATATAATTCCTCTAACTAATTCCCAATTCTACAGTGCATAGTTGGGGCACATCATCATGTTGATTAATGAAATCGGTCCAGTGAATGCAATCATAAACGAAATTGAAAACATAACATTAATATTCTCAACACTCATGTTTCGATTAAGTGCTCAAGACACTTGTATAATCACAGTTATCTCCCCTCCTCTGAAAAAGCTCCCTATCTGTTAATCAGCTGTTAACATCGATTTCCTTATCTTAATCACCATACGCCTTTGTGTTTTAATACTGTACTCGTTTGAAGCCTAATACATTATTCTGTTCGTCCAAATTCGAAATAACGTTGATTCAATGAAGTTATCAGGGCTTTTTTTCCAATGTTTACCTTTTCAAGCAAATCATGATACGTGGGCGCCGCCATCTTGTTATTTACCCTATGTTTCATTGAATATCTCTGGAAAATATTAACCTTTCCCCACATGTACAATACATGAAATCAGTAAACTAATTTACATTTGTATTCAACAGATAATCTAAACATTTTAAGAATATCTTGGCACATTTCACCACCGGAAGTATATCACAAACTGGGGTAAGTTGACCTCTGACAAAGGGCACTAGTGATGTCGTTGCTCGATTGCGTTGAATATAACGTACGGAATGTCACGTAATACGCATTTATAACACTCGTAAGGATATGTACAACAGTTTCAATGCCTAATTAGAACAAACACATTATGATTATGTTGTCATATATATTCAGATGACTGCAAAAGCATCACATGATATAGTAATCACACTTGTGACACAAAATCCTATCTTTCGAAGAGTTTGAGGGATTGTAAACATATCGGTGACTTCTTACAAATTAATTTCTATGATCCACTGTATCCGTTTATGGGATACGGTTATTGGCGAGTGTTGGCAATATGTTTTATCAAGTACTTTATCTACAAAGTATACTTTTTATCGTCATAGTAAATAATAACATGTTGACAGGTTGATCGAATGGCTTCACACCACATTAATGGCAGATTATTTGGCAAACTAGAAATCATACTTAAATCAATTCATTCAGGTTTATTATAATGACATGAAATTTATAGATTATTATTGTATACATGTTTGTTTGCAATATGTGGATACCTTTACCTCCCATTCATTCATCTGTAGAAATGATCTACTAGACTACAGAGCTGAAAGCTATGAGAAAAGTGGGAGTCCCCCAAGAACATCTCGCTGCTGAATTCTGCTATTCTCAGATTAGTGAACTTATGTTAATTTAGGGCCCAAATAACCCTGTAAGGATCAGCAGTAGGGATGTTATCGTTTATCGCGATAATGTATCGATAATTGTTTTATTTTGGATACTGTATCAGTACAATTTTTTTAATATCAATATTAAATTAATAATTCACTGACTCAGAAACTTTACATTTAAGATTACCATGTTTTTGATGGACAATGCGAAGGCAGAAATTCAATTTTAAACATTTGTTGGACCAGGAAACATTTCATCTTTAAACATACAGAACTACTAATTTTGTTATTAGTCATATTGATACTTGATTTTCCTACCAGTGACGCCCCTAATAAGCAGGGAGATTAGGACCCCTGTATCAAATGAACAGCGGATTAGTTGGTTGCGAGGTGCAGTCACAAGCTTTATCCACTTGTCCTCTAGAGTCTATTCAAATTTGTTAAGTTAAATCAGCTTGGATGAGTATGTTCACAAGATCATATGGTTCAAGTAAGGTCAACTGAAAATGATGTTTTGGCTAATAGACTCAAACAAATGTTTGCACAAACTGAATATAAATGTTTGATAGTACAATACTTTTGTTCCTCTAATCAATCTTTTAATCTTGCAATCACAGGTTTATCCCCACAATTTCAGACAGGCCACCATCTTCTCTTTCGTATGTTATATAAAACATCCTCTAACCCCAGCAACGAACCCGTGAAGATCCGGGGTAGAATAGGTCTTCAGCAACCATGCTTGCCATAAATGGCGACTATGCTTGTCGTGAGAGGCTACTAATGGGATCAGGTGGTCAGGCTCACTGACTTGGTTGATGCATGTCATTGTATCCCAATTGCATGGATCGATGCTCATGATGTCAATCACTGGATTGTCTGGTCCAGACTCAATTATTTACAGACCGCCATCATATAGCTGGAATATTGCTTGGGCACGCCAGAAATTTATGATTATGGGTTCGAATCCCAGTTCGCCACGATAATGTTTCTAGGTTTGTCAGCACCATACCCAGTGCTCGTGGGTTTCACAGAAGTGGTAAACGTCTGACACCTTCATCACTTCGGGCTTTCCTCCCACATTAAGCTGACACGCCGCGATGTAACTGTAATACTTTTGAACGCGGTGTTAAACCCAAGTCACTCACTCACCCAATACTAGGTGATACGATAGGATTCGTATTTCAATACAGCACTTTTGTTTCATAACTTGATATTTTTTCTTTTAACAGGTGAATCACAAATTTAATAATTTGTTTTTAAATTTCAGTGATCGAGGTTGGATGTTGTAGAGCCAAAATATATAGGCTAGAGAACACTGTGAGTTAGTGTTCAACTCCAACACTGGTTGAGTCTTGTATATTTTCTTAAGGACCAGTAAAATTAAGTAAATTGTGCTCTACTTTTCACTGACCCACTGACAAATTTTGGTCAGTGTCAAAAACTTTGATTGTAATATGTTATTTATAGCCAACCAGGAAATATATATACTAGAGAATCTGTAAGCTGATTGTTGAACAGTTTCGTTTAGCATTGTGTCGGGATACACTACTGCATTGCTGTATCATTAGATCACTACTTAACACCCTTCCGTCCTGCCCAAGATTGTGGAGGCACCTGGTAAACGATCAAATCTGGACCAGAAAAATCAGTGACAAATGAGATATGTCGAATTATGCATAGATTCACAGATTTCAGCTAACTGCCTAGCCAACATATTGTTACCATACTTTTGAATCTATAACTAGTCCAAATGACAGACTTAATAAACTTATCTGACTGGACAAAATTAAAGTATATTCAGAAAAGTGCCGCAGACTAACCATGGTAACATACCCCCGAAACTTTTATAAATCTACAGCCCCTGAAGACACCTTGAGAGTCTGTAACTGTAACATAAGCTATGTGTCCGAAATCTGTGTCAAGTAAAATCTCTTTTGGTCTGTTAAGATCTGTTCATACGGGTACAAATATTAGTGCTAAAATATAATGAAAATAATGCTAAGATACATGATTAGGAGACACAAAAGTCTTTTTCACAGACCGCCTAAAACATCAGGCAAACTTGTGCTCAAGCCATCCCAGGCTGTTATCGCATACAGCATTTGCCATATTAATCACCTCCCACCCAACTTCTAGACAAGACCAGCTTAGCTTTAATATGTATGAGTGCCCCTAAAACCAAAATTAACATGACCGTCCTTATTTTCTTGTGTATATTATCACAGATTTTTTACACAAAACAAGCATAATAGCCTAGTAAAGGTTTTATAGACATTTGAACTGAGGTTTTCCCAACCACTGATCTCCGAGAACATTATTACCTTATTTGGATGACCATAACCCCAGGGTTCTGTATTGGAACCTCTGTTGTTTGTGATTTATATTTCTCAGTTAGGCAAAGTTACAGACACTTTTGACACTAGTCGTCATGGTTATGCTGATGATAACCAGCTCATGAAAGTCTTCACACCTGGTGACTTATCTCTTTAGATGTGTCTATGACCCTGTGTGAGGCGCTATGAGCGACTACGTAGACGGAAATGGCGCTGAAGAGATGGACTTTATTATTATTATAATGATGTTTGTTTCTCTGATATTTTGATGCTTTTGTCTGTCAGGGGTCGATTTAATTGCTGGCCCGTTGGCCCGAGGCCAGTTAGAGCTACGAAGGGCTTGCTGAAACGTAAACTAGATGGCCCACCTGGCTTGTCAATGCATCGCCCCTTGTCCGTGTACCATATTTTCCTGAGTAATGTGTAATTGATGTATTTTTTTGCTGCACAGAATACTTGAAAAATTCTTTTCTGGGTGTATTTTTTTTTATTGGAACTACTTGTAAATCCGTTTTTTTCAATGAGAAAATATTTTTGGGGGAGTAGGTCATGTGAATAGGGGGTCGGGACCATGTTAATCATTTGGTAGTCGGCAGATAAGATTGGAGAAGGGCCAGGAGCTTTTAAATGGTTTGGTTTGGTTTGTTTGTTGTTTAACGCCGCACTCATCAATATTCCAGCTATTTGCCGGCGGCCTGTAAATAATCGAGTCTGGACCAGACAATCCAGTGGTTGATATCATGAGCATCGATCCACACAATTGGGATCGATGACATGTATCAACCAAGTCAGCGAGCCTGACCACCCGAACCGGTTAGTCGACTTTTACGACAAGCATAGTCACCTTTTATGGCAAGCATGGGTTGCTGAAGACCTATTCTATCCCGGAATCTTCACGGGTCGGGCTACATAAAACCTTGTTAAATCTACCTGTCAGTGTTCTTTACATCTCATGTCTTTTCTTGCAGATTTTAAAGCAATACTATGACCGTGGCTTAGTGGGAGAAGAGTATCAGTAAAGTACAATGGCCTCTGAAGTTGGAGTTGATCCTTACGACCATGTGTCCGGATCTCCGCCACAAACCAACACGACTGGGAAAAAGTCCTGGGACGAACTAAGGAAGTGCGTGCGGGATACACGCAAACTTTTGACTGCTCTAGTTAGCAGTGTGCCGACATCTTTCACATTCAGGAATATCTCTACAGACAATGGAACTGTGACGAGACTGTACTTTTTAGGAGTGCCAATCAAGGGTCGGGAAAACACATTGCTCTATGTAGACCTACCATCTGATTTTCAGGATTATGTGTTACCATGGCAATCATTACTAGACTCTTTCCAGCCGTCGTCAGGGCAACTGTCCCGAGAAGAACAGTTGATGAGGGAGAGGAAGAGGCTTGGGATATATGGAATTACGTCGTACGATGTTGTGGAGAATGAGGGGAAGTTTGTGTTTCCTGCGTGTAGCAGTCTGTTTACGTGTGTGGACAACACCATGGATTGCGTGAGTAAACATGTCACATTATTAACTTCCTCAGCGTTCCCGTTAACCGGTAATTACCAGTTTTTTACCGGTAAAATTAGTGGACCAGTAATTCATGTGACCATGGTGACTGCCAGTCCCTGTGGACCGGCAAATAAAGTACCTTATAAATCTTTGTTGTTGAACAAAACATCGGTGATATTCATATAAGTACATTTTTCGAACAAAGTCAGCTTGTCTGTTACCATAATTTTCAGCGACTTTGTCTCGAAATATTAAAAAAAGAGAGAAATTTGTGTGAATGATACTTATATCTAACTAAGTTACTTCAGAGATGACATCTTTGCACTGAACATGCAAATTGAAAGAATTTAAACCAAATAAATTTCATACCTCTTTTTATTTGTTGAAAGTTCGGACTGGCAAAAATTAGAGGGGACTGGTAAATTTTAGAGTTGCCAGTCCACAAGGACTAGCAGTTTCAAAAGCCAGGGGAACACTGTTCCTACAGAGCTCCAGATAAGCTTTTGGTGTTGTGGGTATTTTACCCATGCATTTATAAATCATTGGGTTTCGGTAATTCTATCTGAGTATTCTGTTACCCACTAGTTTTTACACATGAGGATATTTAAGTTAAATATTTAAAAATACTATTCATCTAGGCCCTGCAAACTGGTTTCGTGTGGGTTCGAGAGCTTTACAGGACTCAAAAATACCACGATACTTCCACAAGAAAGTGTGATGGCAAATGATCATGATGTAACTGTCAACGTGGAGTTTGGCAAGTTTGACGGAATGCCCGTTTATAATTTCAAAATAAGTTGCTGATTTGCTTATCGAATACGCAGGGTTACTTCACAATATTTTGATGATACGCACAAGTTTTATTTTTGTAGCGTATCTGTAATGTTTGTTGCGTATTTGATACGCTTGGATTTTATTTTACTGCATATTTCTGTATTTCTGTATTTCTGATGCGTATTTTATGCAAGTACGCAGCTTATCTGGAGCTTTGTTCGTAAACCCTGCACAATACCCCGGTTGGAATACGGGTTCGAGTGTATCCCCCTTCATCCCATTGCTAGTTGTAAGAGGCGGCTGAACTGGGGACCATAGTGACTCAGACATGTCAGAGTTGGAATGGCTCCCTAACATATGCAGTTTGTTAGAGCCACTTAATCATGTTCCGGGGGCACGGGTCGCCCAGTCGTCTAAGGCGCCACGATTCGCTGTGCAGAGTTGCGTCTCCTGGGCACACCAGAAACCTAAGATTGTGGGATCGAATCCAGGTTCGCCCCGATTATGTTTCTAGGTTTGTCAGCACCATACCCGTGCTCGTGGGTTTCACCGAATTGGTAAACGTCTTAGACCTGCATCACTTCGGGCTTTCCTCCCACATTAAGTTGACACGCCGCAATATAACTGGAATACTGTTAAAAGCGGCGTTAAACCCAACTCACTCACTCACTCACTAATCATGTTCCGGGGGGACTTGGTTGATGGCATCGATCATTGCTCACACTGTCAATCACTGGATTGTCTGGTCTAGTTTTTGATTATATGCATGTCGCCTTTTTAAGAGGCCACTCTGACTTAGTGGTGAGACAATACACCCACGATGCATTGGGGTGGATCACGATATTTTACTTCTCGATACAAGTATCGATCACAGTTGCACACAAAGTAATAAATATCAATTCATATGTTAAATGTTTACTTTAATGCTGTTACACTAAACACTATTTGTAGTGAAAATTAGAAGTGAAAAAGTAAATATTTTCATCCGTTGCACCATCTTTTGACACTGCCAACTGTAAATCATCAGTGTGCCAGATGTTTGACTATCCTGTCTGAAAAATATGGGTTACTCACTACAGACACGAGCACATACAAGTATCATGATACATATCTGGTCCTGAGCAAGGTATCGTGATACGTATCGGATTGTGAGCAAGGTATCGTGATACGTATCGGATTGTGAGCAAGGTATCGTGATATGTATCAGAGGGCACAGTTGGTGTATCATCCCAGCCCTACCCTGACAATTGGTAGGCAAATTGGGAAAAACACATTTTCATAAAAAATGGAAATGTTTTTGAAGTCCTTATGTTCTTACTTTCAGCATTTACAGAGGTATTTCTACATTGTATTTCATTCAATGCAGCAGTATAAAATATAGCGAAATGTAAGGACACAGTGAATGTGGAGTCTAATGGTCTGAATTAATGTTAGAGCTCTATCACTGTCAAAGGCGGAGATTGTATTTCATTGGTAACAAGAATGCAGACCAATAAAGAGAAAGATTATCATTTCATCGAATGCAGTGTTAAAATACAAATTTAATATACCACTGAATTTAGGCAACTTGGAACTTTTGTTCGTTCGTGTATTGTGTTTGGTTAAAAGATTGGCCTGTAGAGGGCACTGCGCTTGGAGTCGAAGATGAATCCCTCCACTAACTGCTCTCACTTCTGTTTCGGCAGCATGTTGAAGATGACCGAGTGATTCTCCCGACGGCTATCAGCACAAGTTGTTTAGGGGCTCGTCTGGATCCAAAGATCTGTCCCCTGGATACAAACCTGGTGTCTTTCATTCATAATGGCGATCTGTGGATCACGCATCTCATTAGCGGGCAGGAGAAGAGACTCACGTTTGTTCATAAAGGTAACCATGTTGGCACATTCCAACCATGTTGGCACAGGTTTTACCATGAGAATGTGAAATTCTCATATTGCAGTAATGAAACTTCAGTCGTAACACCACTCTATGTGTAGCATCCAAGGGGAAGTGTTATCTCTCTCTCTCTCTCTCTCTCTCTCTCTCTCTCTCTCTCTCTCTCTCTCTCTCTCTCTCTCTCACGCACTTGTACACACCACACACACACTTAAACAACATGTATCAAAAACAAATGTATGTTTCAAACATACTTTCCATGAAGCTAAGGAAGTGTGTGTAAAATATCTCTTAGTGATGTACGTGTACTTGAAAGAGATTCTTAGAGCTGCCTTATTGTCCATCTCAACTGTAAGTCTACCGTGATGTCTCGGGATGTATCGTCTATGTTACTGCTACAAACCCAATCACTACATCCTATCTTGTAATGCAGGTACTGTAAGTCTACCATGATGTCTCAGGATGTATCGTCTATGTTACTGCTACAAACCCAATCACTACATCCTATCTTGTAATGCAGGTACTGTAAGTCTACCGTGATGTCTCAGGATGTATTCGTCTATGTTACTGCTACAAACCCAATCACTACATCCTATCTTGTAATGCAGGTACTGTAAGTACCGTGATGTCTCGGGATGTTTTCGTCTATGTTACTGCTACAAACCCAATCACTACATCCTATCTTGTAATGCAGGTACTGTAAGTACCGTGATGTCTCAGGATGTATCGTCTATGTTACTGCTACAAACCCAATCACTACATCCTATCTTGTAATGCAGGTACTGTAAGTCTACCGTGATGTCTCAGGATGTATCGTCTATGTTACTGCTACAAACCCAATCACTACATCCTATCTTGTAATGCAGGTACTGTAAGTCTACTGTGATGTCTCAGGATGTATCGTCTATGTTACTGCTACAAACCCAATCACTACACCCTATCTTGTAATGCAGGTACTGTAAGTCTACCGTGATGTCTCAGGATGTATCGTCTATGTTACTGCTACAAACCCAATCACTACATCCTATCTTGTAATGCAGGTACTGTAAGTCTACTGTGATGTCTCAGGATGTATCGTCTATGTTACTGCTACAAACCCAATCACTACATCCTATCTTGTAATGCAGGTACTGTAAGTCTACCGTGATGTCTCAGGATGTATCGTCTATGTTACTGCTACAAACCCAATCACTACATCCTATCTTGTAATGCAGGTACTGTAAGTCTACTGTGATGTCTCAGGATGTATTCGTCTATGTTACTGCTACAAACCCAATCACTACATCCTATCTTGTAATGCAGGTGAGGGGGGACTCGCAGCAGACCCCTGTGTGGCGGGGGTACCGTCATTCGTGGTTCAGGAGGAGTTTGACCGTTACACGGGGTACTGGTGGATGCCTAAAGTCACACAGTCTACAGGTAAGTCTGGGACAAGAATATCGTTAGCTGACCTGTCATCTACAGGTAAGCCTGGACAAGAATATTGTTAGCTCACCTGCCATCTACAGGTAAGTCTGGGACAATAATATCGTTAGCTCACCTGTCATCTACAGGTAAGCCTGGAACACAAATATCGATAGCTCACCTGGTATCTACAGGTAAGTCTGGGACAAGAATATTGATGACACCTGAATCCGTTCAAGAAATTCAGATTCAATTACCCATATTCCTGTCTGCGAGATCTCTCCTGATTTCTAATCACATGACACAATACTCTCTGCCAAGCGAGAGACATCACAACCTGTCTGTACACCGTTTGGCTCCCATTCTCTGTCAGGAACTCATTGAGATATCAACCTGTGAAGATCCGGGGTAGAATAGGTCTTTAGCAACCCATGTTTGCCGTAAAAGGCGACTATGCTTGTCGCAAGAGGCAATTAACGGGATCGGGTGTTCAGGCTTGCAGACTTGGTTGATGCTCATGATGTCAATCACTGGATTGTCTGGTCCAGACTCAATTATTTACAGACCACCGTCATATGCTGCATTAAACAACGAACAAACACTATGGGGGTTGGGCTAGGGGATGTGTCCTTGACAGTTTATGGCCACCCCCCCCCAACCCCCGCCCTAATCTTTTACATTTTAACATTAGGGTTATGACAAGGACTCTTTGACTTAAATCATAATTTGGAACACTAACACCAAAATGTTATATTTTCTAGATGAAGCAAGCACCTTCAGGATCCTGTACGAGGAAGTGGATGAGTCCGATGTGGAGATTCTTCACGTGTTTGCTCCTGTGACAGACGACCAGGGTATCGACGAGTACAGGTACCCTCGTGCAGGTAGGCCCACTGTCCACTTACTGGTCAGCTACTCAAAGACTCTTGGGGATTCAGGGTTAGAAAAGGTCCCAGAAACCTCTGCTGGCGACATGGAATGGATGACCAGTCTCGATGACTTTGATAGTGTGTCTTCCTTCTTCCCGAGGCAAGGGAGTTAACTTACTATAAAAGTCCATTTTCACCCTTGCCAAACTAGGCTGGAATATTTTGGCTCAATCGTAGAGCCACCAGTGGCAGTTATGAGTTATGTCCCTTCTATGTCCCTCCTACTGACCAATCAGATTCCGTCTCTCCTTTCACTTTTTCTATGTAACATAATGGTGGCACCCAGTCCAGACGATGTGATCGATAATCAAGATCTTTATTGTAATAAAATGGGTCTTACCTCGCAAAGTACATCAAATCATTTGAGCACCTTAAAAACACGAAAACATTTGGAAAACATCTGTTGATGCCCAATTGACGGTAAAATGCTCTGCAAATTCTGCAATCGACCCAAATCTTCCCTGCAGTCGCCATTTTGTTTTCATTCCACGATTATGATTGGACAATGCTTAGACTCGTTAATCCAGCCAAAATACAGCTCCATAATTCCAGCCTAGTTCAGCAAGGGCTGAAACTGGACTTTTGAAGTCAGTTAACTCCCTTGCCTCAGGAAGATGTGTGTCATCATGGATAAGTCTCGGGTTTGTCTGGTCCACACTCACTTGCAGTGTGGAACCTAACTCCATTGTTTGGGTTCAAATTCCTCAAGGGCTCGATCATGAAACTCATTCAAAACATTCACCATTTCGTCATTATAAGCTGATATACTGCATTTTCATTTTTCTGGTGCCATTTGATTCATCTTATGATCATGTCAATGTTTTAGGTACAACAAACGCCAGGAGTACTCTGAAGATTATAGAGTTTGAAGTGGGGGAAGATGGTTCGGTAATTACACACAGTATTATTATTCTTGTAAGGCTTAGAAGTGATCTTCAGCAGCCCATGCTTGTCTGAAGAGGCGATCAATGGGATCGAGTGGTCACACTCGCTGATTGGCTGATTGCATCTCATTGTATGTCATGATAAAATAGATCGATGCTCAGACCTGTGAAGATCCGGGGTAGAATTGATCTTCAGCAGCCCATGCTTGTCTGAAGAGCCGATTAACGGGATCGAGTGGTCACACTCGCTGATTGGCTGATTTGCATCTCATTGTATGTCATGATAACATAGATCAATGCTCATGATGTCAATCACTGGATTGTCTGGTCCAGGCTTGATTATTTTCAGGCCGCCGTCATATAGCTGGAATATTGCAGTGCAATCCTCTGTTCAATTTTTGTAAAATCATTGCCATCATTAGTCATTTTTTCAGAAGATGATATTGTCCAAAAAATTGTATTGCAGTATTTTGCGAAATAGGTATCTGTATTGCAGTATGTATTGCAACATATAAGATAGCTGAAAAACGAAGCATGGTTCATTTCACGATAAAACATTGTTCTATCATGACGTCATTTCTGGAGATTTGAGCATGCGCTTGATGATGGCGTAAACTGGACACCATTATTTTCACGAGTTTAGTGTCCAGTGAGTTGTTCCCTTTAGCTGTAGCTGGGCTACCCATATATATACAATGGTCAAGCGATCGCATTCAAACGTGGGAGAGATATGACAATCGGTAATGGGTGAAAAGATACAGATTATCGAAGTGAAAATTGTGAGAATATCCGGGAAATACCAAATGTAACCCCCCTGTACATAAACAGGACTTGTCCGACATTGCCGGGGTCGGATTGTATACAGGGAGTTATTATCATTATTTAAATACATGGAAATGTTTGAAAGCTTGAACATTTTCTCGACATCCTTAAAAATAATGTTGAAATCTCATATAAGAGATAAACGAATGGGAGTTGTCTATCATACAATAAAACACTGCAGGGAGCTGTGGCAATGTGATATTGCTGCAATATTGCTAAGAGCGGCATAAAACCTCATTCACTCACTAGTTTGGAAACCCAAACAAATCTCTGATTTTATAGGGGCATAAAACAGCCCCATCCCTCACCCCATCCCTAGACTACGACATGTTTGTTGACAAAGTCGCCCCCTGTGACCCCGTGTTGTGTCTCCCCCAGCTGCTGGAGGGGGCGGTGGAGCGCCACATGATGGAGCCACTGTCAAGTTTCTGTCCCTGGATGGAGTACATCGTGAGAGCTGGCTGGACTCCAGACTCCAAGTAGTAAGTATATAGTCACAAGAGCGCAGGCTTGTTGCTTACCAGAATCAGGCCTTTTACATACTGGGGTGACCGCCTCCGTGGTCTAGTGGTAGAGCGTCTGCCCGGAGAGCGGAAGGTTCGGGGTTCGATCCCCGGCCGCGTCATACCAAAAGACGTTAAAAGATGGTACTTGTTGTTACCCTGTCTGGCGCTGGGCATTAAGGAGCTAAAACAAGGACTGGTCGGCTCGGAGTCAGTATACTGTGTCTGAGTGGGATATTCATGTTAAACTGCGGCATGGTATCTCACTGAGCTAGCACTATAAATAGGCATCAGTCCGGACTAGTACAAGCAGCCACACAAACACATGCACGTCGCTTTGCTTGTCGTAAGAGGCGACTAACGGGATCGGGTGGTCAGGCTTTCTGACTTGGTTGATGCATGTCATCGTATCCCAATTGTGTAGATCGATCACTGGTTTCTGGGGTCCCGACTCAATTATTTACAGACCGTCGTAGAGCAGGCCAAGAATTTAATTGATGGATATCTTGGGCTCAGCAGTATTTGGGTAATGGCGATTCTTTTTTCTTTCTTTTTTTCGCAAATACACAGCTTATCTGGAGCTCTGTTTCAGCGTGTACGCCCAGGTGTTAGATCAAGTGATCTCTGTTTCAGCGTGTACGCCCCCATGTTATATTGAGAGATCTCTGTTTCAGCGTGTACGCCCACATGTTATATTGAGAGATCTCTGTTTCAGCGTGTACGCCCACATGTTATATTGAGAGATCTCTGTTTCAGCGTGTACGCCCACATGTTATATTGAGAGATCTCTGTTTCAGCGTGTACGCCCAGGTGTTAGATCGAGAGCAGCAGCAACTCGCTGTCATCCTCATCCCCTTCGAGTACTTCATGCCGATATCCTCCGACATCGAGATGAGCAGCTTTGACACCAGCAGTTATCCCCCTTTGCAGTTCATCTACAGGGAGACATCCAATATCTGGATTAATGTGAGTTTGTTTGTTTGATCTTTGTTGTTTTTGCCTTTGTGTTGGCTGGAATAAGGTGGTCCGTCTGTCTTTGCCTGGAATAAGGTGGTCCGTCTGTCATTGGAAGGAATAAAGTGGTCCGTCTGTTGTTGGAAGGAATAAGGTGGTCCGTCTGTCATTGGAATATAGCTGTCCTGGTAGTCATGTTTTTAGAAAATCTTTACAGCTTTTACTTTTTCACCGAAGATATATGTGGTAGTAGTATTCGGAGTCATCTTCGATTTTCTGTGTTATTGAGCTTGATGTGAATTTTGACCTTGATTTGACCTTTGCACTTTGACCTTGCTCTTCATTCTCTCAAACTTGATTTGACACTTCTAATGATGTTTCAGGTTCATGACATCCTGCATTTTTTCCCACAATCTTCCCCAGACGAGATAAGTTTCCTGTGGTCCAGTGAGAAGAGTGGATACAGGCATCTGTATCATGTGACATCCAAACTCCAAACACCTCCACCTGACTCAAACCATGCCATGGAGCTGGAAGACAGGTCTCAAGGTAGGACTTGATGCTGTTGTGTTTGTTTGTTTGTTTGTTTGTTTGTTGTTTAACGCCGCACTCAGCAATATTCCAGTTAATTGACGGCGATCTGTAAATAATCGTGATTCTACCAGACAAATCAGTGAATGACCAAGTCAGTGAGCCTGACCACCCAATCCCATTAGTCACCTCTTACGACAAGCATAGTCGTTTTTTACGGCAAGCATGGGTTGCTGAAGACCTATTCTACCCCGGATCTTCACGGGTACCATCAACCCTGAATACATTGGGCTGATATGTGGTGCTGTTGCTATTCTACCCCACAGGTCAGTTGACTAAGGTCGTGTCGTTCTCAAACCAAAATGACGGCAGAGTTCGACAACGTATCCAGAAATTCTTGACTGGATCAACTGAGAAATGAGCAAAGGTAGCCAACACCCATCATCCTCAGTCTGCTCCCCATCTTCAAAGTAGTCATAAATTTCATCAGTTCGTTTTCGAGCCTCTTTTATTACGTTCTTCATTTGGGCAAGGCAACCATGTGTTAGTTGCGCCGCCATTTTGGAAAAGTGCACCCTGGGATGAGCTATCAATTTGCTTACTCTAAGCAATTCGTGGCTTGCAACGCGCCCCTGGTGTTTGGATCTTGTGGGATCTAACAGATATGTTTCATTTATTTGTACACATCTTGACCATGCTGTAAACAAGACTGAAAGAATGAGTGAGTGAGTATGGTTTTACGCCGCTTTTTTAGCAATATTCCAGCAATATCACGGCGGTGGACACCAGAAATAGGCTTCACACATTGTACCCATGTCGGGAATCGAACCCGGGTCTTCGGCGTGAAGAGCGAACGCTTTAACCACCAGGCTACCCGACCACCAAAGACTGAAAGAGCTCAACTTTGAAACATGTTTCTACTATTTATTTTGACATCATATTTTGTTCAAATCAGAGTTTAGTATTTATGCAGAAATTATTTGAATATCAAAGCGGACCATTGCTGACAGGAACCTTTGTCGAGTGTCTGTCTTTGTTGATGTTTCAAACTGTTGACTACATATTCAGGTGAGCTACAGTGTTGTGGCACAACTTTTATGTTCTCCAACAGACAAATCTGTGTGATTTGGTGATTGAACTTCGTCACAGGGTTATTCTTCTGTCTTTTTCCAGACTTCCTCCAGAGCCAGATGGTGAGAGAGGTTGCAGTAACCCAGGGCGACTGGGAGGTGAACGGGAAGCAGGTACACAGTTTTAGTATTATCAATTAGTGTTGGCCATCCCAGGCTGGAAGTGGTCCCCAGATCATTAGTGTTGGCCATCCCAGGCTGGAAGTGGTCCCCAGATCATTAGTGTTGGCCATCCCAGGCTAGAAGTGGTCCCCAGATCATTAGTGTTGGCCATCCCAGGCTAGAAGTGGTCCCCAGATCATTAATGTTGGCCATCCCAGGCTAGAAGTGGTCTCCAGATCATTAGTGTTGGCAATCCCAGGCTAGAAGTGGTCCCCAGATCCTTTGTGTTGGCAATCCCAGGCTAGAAGTGGTCCCCAGATCATTAGTGTTGGCCATCCCAGGCTAGAAGTGGTCCCCAGATCATTAGTGTTGGCAATCCCAGGCTAGAAGTGGTCCCCAGATCATTAATGTTGGCCATCCCAGGCTAGAAGTGGTCCCCAGATCATTAGTGTTGGCAATCCCAGGCTAGAAGTGGTCCCCAGATCATTAATGTTGGCCATCCCAGGCTAGAAGTGGTCCCCAGATCATTAGTGTTGGCATTGCAAATATCCGTTAATTATTATTATTGTTGTTGTTGTTGTTATTAGTGTTATTATTATTAACACACCATAAACTGTAGACTAATCAGTGATATTCTTCAGCGCAGTCATGCAACACATGCCCCACCCATTTCATTGTCAGCCAATTAGGAAACTCTTGTCCTACATGACCATATTTTCTTTCGATTTTTTGGTTTATTGAAACATAGACATAGATAAAAATTCCTTGGCTAGGCAATGAAAGGCTATGGAATGACTTGCAGTTTGCTTATATAATCTTATCTTGTTTCAGATATGGGTGGACGAGCTGCGTAAGCTGGTGTACTTCAACGGGCTGAAAGACTCCCCCCTTGAAACACACTTGTGAGTACAAGGAACATGCCTGTGGGAATTCCTGGGCGGAATATGGATGAGTGTAGCGGCCTAGCCACCCACATACCTGTGCTCGTGAACTGAAGTGTTATCCCCATGAAGATCAGGGTTAGAACCGGTCTCAGCAGCCCATGCTTGCCATAAATGGCGACTCTGCTTGTCGTAAGAGGGGACTAACGGGATCGGGTGGACAGGCTTGCTGACTTGGTTGATGCATATCATCAAATCCCAATTTGTGCAGTTAAATGTTCATGATGTCAATCATTGGATTGTTAAGTCCAGATTATTTACATACCACCGTCATATAGCTGGAATATTTCAGAGTGCGGTGTTAAACAACAAACAAAAGTGTTAAACCTTTAATTTGTGTCACTTTAGTCTTTCCTCCAACATTAAGCCGACTGCTCGGTGAAGAACCTGACTCACTCACTCACCCACTGTTATTCTGTTCCTCTGTAGGGGCGGTCGGGTAGCCTAGTGGTAAAAGCGTTCGCTCGTCACGCCGAAACTCAGGTTCGATTCCCGACATGGGTACATTGCGTTAAGCCCATTTCTGGTGTCCCCCTCCGTGATATTGCTGGAATATTGCTACTCACTCACTGTGGTCTAGTGGTTGAGTGTCTGCCCAGAGAGAGGAAGGTCATGGGTTCGAACACCGCCTGCGTAATACCAAAACCTTAAAAGATGGTACTTGTTACCCTGTCTGATGCTCGGCATTGAGGGGTTCAAACAAGGACTGGTCGGCTCGGAGTCGGTAGCTCACCTCTGCTGTTGGTCTGTTACAGGTACTGTGTGTCGTACAACTCACCCGGTGAACCGGTCAGACTCACCCAGCCTGGCTTCAGCCACACAGTCTCCTTAGATAAGGTGAGTCGACAATCAAGACGTGACAGGTATCATTGAAAGGTGTTTTATTATCCCTGCTCACAAAGTGAATAGGGGATACAGGAATGGGTACTGTCCGTCCGTCCTGCCATCCGTTCATCACATTCCATTTATGAGCAGAAGTCAGAAGTGATATCTTAGATATCATAGATAGGACAAGTGGTGAACTGGTGCCTGTTGATAGTTTGGAATTTTTGTAAAAAATCATTTTCGAGTTTCCATAGCAACAACTTTGACTTGGAAGTGCTCCTTTCCGGAGCAGATCTTGCAAACTGTGCAATATCTCTTGCCTTGCACACAACTGGACATGTCATTTTGGCGGGGTATATGTGTAGTTCATGCTTGTTTAGATCTCTTTTGGTGAATGCTGAGGCTAAAAATCATGATTATGAATGAAATAAACAACTCTAAAAAAGTTAAGGAACACCCAATTTTTTTCTTATTACTGCAGTTAATCTGTTATGGCTTCTTATTGTTTGCGTTCTTAACTTTTTTGGAGTAGTATATCACAAAACAACCTTAGCGCTACGACTGTCATAAGTCGATGTTTAGGTATGGGCGTCATGATGACCTTAGCGCTACGACTGTCATAAGTCTATGTTCAGGTATGGGAGTTACGATCACCTTAGCGCTACGACTGTCGTAAGTCTATGTTCAGGTATGGGAGTTACGATCACCTTAGCGCTACAACTGTCATAAGTCTATGTTCAGGTATGGGAGTTACGATCACCTTAGCGCTACGACTGTCGTAAGTCTATGTTCAGGTATGGGAGTTACGATCACCTTAGCGCTACAACTGTCATAAGTCTATGTTCAGGTATGGGAGTTACGATCACCTTAGCGCTACGACTGTCGTAAGTCGATGTTCAGGTATGGGAGTTACGATCACCTTAGCGCGACGACTGTCGTAAGTCTATGTTCAGGTATGGGAGTTACGATCACCTTAGTGCTACGACTGGCGTAAGTGTATGTTCAGGTATGGGAGTTACGATCACCTTAGTGCTACGACTGGCGTAAGTGTATGTTCAGGTATGGGAGTTACAATCACCTTAGTGCTGAGATCACCTTGTACAACGGCACCCTGGTGTTGCCCCGGACAGAGTGGGGCTGACTGCATTCTTGCTTTTGCAGTTTGTAAACAGTAACAAACAGTGATTTGAGTGTAAAAAGTAGAGCTAACCAGCTTCAGCAGCAGAGGCACATGATGTCATGTAATTGTGACGTCATGGTAACCTATGACGTCACAATGGTCTGCCAAGCATTGTGATGCAATTCATTGTAGCAATATCTCCCAGGAAATATTTCCTTGATCTCACCCAAGCTATATCTCCTGTGGAAGCCAGTTTTGTATTTAAGCTCATTTCTTATGGCCAAACACCATACAAGGCTGAAGTTTGGAATAAGGCATGAAACATATGTCCCTGTCGCTGTTTGTTTGACTGTTTGACTGTTTGTTTGTTTGCAGGCCTGTTCTCTGTTTGTGTCTGTGTACAGCTCGGTCCAGCACACACCTCGATGTAAGGTTTACCGTATCTCCCATGGAGACCACCCCTCTCAACACACACAGGCTGAGCCTTGTGGAACTGTGATAAGCTCTACGTGTAAGTACTGTCTGTGTACAGCTCCGTCCAGCACACACACCTCTCAACACACACAGGCTGAGCCTTGTGGAACTGTGATAAGCTCTACGTGTAAGTACTGTCTGTGTACAGCTCCGTCCATCACACACCCCTCTCAACACACACAGGCTGAGCCTTGTGGAACTGTGATAAGCTCTACGTGTAAGTACTGTCTGTGTACAGCTCCGTCCAGCACACACACCTCTCAACACACACAGGCTGAGCCTTGTGGAACTGTGATAAGCTCTACGTGTAAGTACTGTCTGTGTACAGCTCCGTCCATCACACACCCCTCTCAACACACACAGGCTGAGCCTTGTGGAACTGTGATAAGCTCTACGTGTAAGTACTGTCTGTGTACAGCTCCGTCCATCACACACACCTCTCAACACACACAGGCTGAGCCTTGTGGAACTGTGATAAGCTCTACGTGTAAGTACTGTCTGTGTACAGCTCCGTCCATCACACACCCCTCTCAACACACACAGGCTGAGCCTTGTGGAACTGTGATAAGCTCTACGTGTAAGTACTGTCTGTGTACAGCTCCGTCCAGCACACACACCTCTCAACACACACAGGCTGAGCCTTGTGGAACTGTGATAAGCTCTACGTGTAAGTACTGTCTGTGTACAGCTCCGTCCATCACACACCCCTCTCAACACACACAGGCTGAGCCTTGTTGAACTGTGATAAGCTCTACGTGTAAGTACTGTCTGTGTACAGCTCCGTCCATCACACACACCTCTCAACACACACAGGCTGAGCCTTGTGGAACTGTGATAAGCTCTACGTGTAAGTACTGTCTGTGTACAGCTCCGTCCATCACACACCCCTCTCAACACACACAGGCTGAGCCTTGTGGAACTGTGATAAGCTCTACGTGTAAGTACTGTCTGTGTACAGCTCCGTCCATCACACACCCCTCTCAACACACACAGGCTGAGCCTTGTGGAACTGTGATAAGCTCTACGTGTAAGTACTGTCTGTGTACAGCTCCGTCCATCACACACCCCTCTCAACACACACATGCTGAGCCTTGTGGAACTGTGATAAGCTCTACGTGTAAGTACTGTCTGTGTACAGCTCCATCCATCACACACCCCTCTCAACACACACAGGCTGAGCCTTGTGGAACTGTGATAAGCTCTACGTGTAAGTACTGTCTGTGTACAGCTCCATCCATCACACACCCCTCTCAACACACACAGGCTGAGCCTTGTGGAACTGTGATAAGCTCTACGTGTAAGTACTGTCTGTGTACAGCTCCGTCCATCACACACACCTCTCAACACACACAGGCTGAGCCTTGTGGAACTGTGATAAGCTCTACGTGTAAGTACTGTCTGTGTACAGCTCCGTCCAGCACACCCCCCTCTCAACACACACAGGCTGAGCCTTGTGGAACTGTGATAAGCTCTACGTGTAAGTACTGTCTGTGTACAGCTCCGTCCATCACACACCCCTCTCAACACACACAGGCTGAGCCTTGTGGAACTGTGATAAGCTCTACGTGTAAGTACTGTCTGTGTACAGCCCCATCCATCACACACCCCTCTCAACACACACAGGCTGAGCCTTGTGGAACTGTGATAAGCTCTACGTGTAAGTACTGTCTGTGTACAGCTCCGTCCATCACACACCCCGCTCAACACACACAGGCTGAGCCTTGTGGAACTGTGATAAGCTCTACGTGTAAGTACTGTCTGTGTACAGCTCCGTCCATCACACACCCCTCTCAACACACACAGGCTGAGCCTTGTGGAACTGTGATAAGCTCTACGTGTAAGTACTGTCTGTGTACAGCTCCGTCCATCACACACCCCTCTCAACACACACAGGCTGAGCCTTGTGGAACTGTGTGAGCTCTACATGTAAGTACTGTCTGTGTACAGCTCCGTCCATCACACACCCCTCTCAACACACACAGGCTGAGCCTTGTGGAACTGTGATAAGCTCTACGTGTAAGTACTGTCTGTGTACAGCTCCGTCCATCACACACCCCTCTCAACACACACAGGCTGATCCTTGTGGAACTGTGATAAGCTCTACGTGTAAGTACTGTCTGTGTACAGCTCCGTCCATCACACACCCCTCTCAACACACACAGGCTGAGCCTTGTGGAACTGTGATAAGCTCTACGTGTAAGTACTGTCTGTGTACAGCTCCGTCCATCACACACCCCTCTCAACACACACAGGCTGAGCCTTGTGGAACTGTGATAAGCTCTACGTGTAAGTACTGTCTGTGTACAGCTCCGTCCATCACACACCCCTCTCAACACACACAGGCTGAGCCTTGTGGAACTGTGATAAGCTCTACGTGTAAGTACTGTCTATGTACAGCTCCGTCCATCACACACCCCTCTCAACACACACAGGCTGAGCCTTGTGGAACTGTGATAAGCTCTACGTGTAAGTACTGTCTGTGTACAGCTCCGTCCAGCACACACCCCTCTCAACACACACAGGCTGAGCCTTGTGGAACTGTGATAAGCTCTACGTGTAAGTACTGTCTGTGTACAGCTCCGTCCATCACACACCCCTCTCAACACACACAGGCTGAGCCTTGTGGAACTGTGATAAGCTCTACCTGTAAGTACTGTCTGTGTACAGCTCCATCCATCACACACCCCTCTCAACACACACAGGCTGAGCCTTGTGGAACTGTGATAAGCTCTACGTGTAAGTACTGTCTGTGTACAGCTCCGTCCATCACACACCCCTCTCAACACACACAGGCTGAGCCTTGTGGAACTGTGATAAGCTCTACGTGTAAGTACTGTCTGTGTACAGCTCCGTCCATCACACACCCCTCTCAACACACACAGGCTGAGCCTTGTGGAACTGTGATAAGCTCTACCTGTAAGTACTGTCTGTGTACAGCTCCGTCCATCACACACCCCTCTCAACACACACAGGCTGAGGCTTGTGGAACTGTGATAAGCTCTACCTGTAAGTACTGTCTGTGTACAGCTCCGTCCATCACACACCCCTCTCAACACACACAGGCTGAGCCTTGTGGAACTGTGATAAGCTCTACCTGTAAGTACTGTCTGTGTCTGTAGAAGTCATGGAATCCGGGATAAACCCCTGTGTTAGTCATTGAATCATGACCCATGAAGATCTGGTGTAGATTAGGTCTTCAGCAACCCATTCTAAGAAGCAACTATGCTTGTCGAAAGAGGCGACTAACGGGATCGGGTGGTCAGGCTCGGTGATTTGGTTGATGCATGTCATTGTATCCCAATTGCGTAGATCGATGTTCATGATGTCAATCACTGGATAGTCTGATCCAGACTTGATTGTTTACAGACTGCTGTCATATAGCTGGAATATTGCTGAGTCTGGCGTTAAATAACAAAGAAACAAACAAACCTACAAACATGGAATCCTAGATCACTTCCTGTGTTAGTCATGGAATCCTGGATGTGTCCCCCCTATGTACCCATGACAACCCTGATGAAATGAAGTAACTTGTACTCTTTGAATTGTCCTATCAGCCTGTCCTGAGTACCGAGCCCCGGAGCTGTTCAGCTACCCTAGTAAGAGCGGCTACACCATGCACGGCATGTACTACCACCCCCACAACTACGACCCCGGCGCCCGCTACCCCACTGTCCTCTTTGTGTACGGGGGACCCCAGGTACAGCTGGTCACCAACGCCTTCAAGGGACTCAAGTGAGTTGGACTCTCCATCATAGTTCTGTTGTATTAGGACCGCCGCTGTTCTCTCGCCGTCTAGTGTCTGCCCGGAGAGTGGAAGGTCCGGGGTTCGATCCCCGGCCACGTCTTACCAAAAGATGTTAAAAGATTGTACTTGTTGTTACCTTGTCTGGCGCCCGGCATTAAGGGGCTAAAACAAGGACTGGTCGGCTCAGAGTCAGTATACTGTGTGTGAGTGGGGTATTCATGTTAAACTGCGGCATGGTATCTCCGTGGGCTAGCACTATAAAATCGGCATCAGTCCAGACTAGTACAAGCAGCCACACGCACATGTGCATGCACATCGCTATATAAGTGCAAATATCTTAGATACGACGTTATAACCCATATCACCTCACCTATTGTACTGGGTACAGCAAACAACAGTTATAACGACCAGGGACCACTAAATTTACTTCGTTATATCTATAGTTCGTTATAAGCATTTCGACTGTCAGACGCTTGGATCAAGCCATATGTCTGTAGTCGCATTTTTATACACAGACTATATCCACTTCAAAGGCTATAGCCTAGTCACTGTGTTCAAGAGGCGTTTTGATTGGATGTTTATACCACACTAATGAGCGGGATGAGGTAAGATAGCGGAAGAGATGATGAAGGTATCAAGTAGGTCCAGTGTATATAGCATGGAGGTGTGGTAGAGTAGTGTGTGATGTGTGTGTTTGTTCTGTCAGATTCCTGCGTCTACACACGCTGGCCTCCCAGGGCTACGCTGTCGTTACGATAGATGGTCGTGGTTCTTGTAACAGAGGCCTCCAGTTTGAAAGTCATATCAAGGGGAAACTGGTAAGTACAATTTCCTTGAATCTACTCTGCTCGCTCACTCACTCACTCCGCACTCACTACCCACCCATCACTCACTCACTCTGCACCCACCCCTCACTCACTCCACACCCACGCAATCACTCACTCATCCACTCACTCATCCAAACCACTCACTCACCAAAACCACTCACTCACTCAAATCCACTCACTCACTCACTCACTCACTCCGTACCCACCCACCACTCACTCACTCTGCACCCACCCCTCACTCACTCCGCACCCACCCAATCACTCACTCACTCACTCACTCACTCACTCACTCACTCACTAACTACCCCTTCCCCAGGTGGACACTGAATAGCGTATGTGAGTAAATACTTCTGTGATATTGCTACAATAATATTGATGTAGCTGAAATATTGTTCAAATCGCCATTAAACCCAACTCACTCTCCTCCCATTTCAGGGCACTGTAGAGATAGAAGAACAGGTCGAGGGTCTGCTCTGGCTGGCTTCCAAAGTAGACTTCATTGACCTGACGAGAATAGCTATACATGGCTGGTCTTACGGTGAGTACAAGTATAACTGTTTCATTGACCTGACGAGAATAGCTATACATGGTTGGTCTTACGGTGAGTACATGACAGACTTCATTGACCTGACGAGAATAGCTATACATGGCTGGTCTTACGGTGAGTACAAGTATAACTGTTTCATTGACCTGACGAGAATAGCTATACATGGTTGGTCTTATGGTGAGTACAAGTGTAACTGTTTCATTGACCTGACGAGAATAGCTATACATGGCTGGTCTTACGGTGAGTACAAGTATAACTGTTTCATTGACCTGACGAGAATAGCTATACATGGTTGGTCTTATGGTGAGTACAAGTATAACTGTTTCATTGACCTGACGAGAATAGCTATACATGGCTGGTCTTATGGTGAGTACATGACAGACTTCATTGACCTGACGAGAATAGCTATACACAGCTCGTCTTACGGTGAGTACAAGTGTAACTGTTTCATTGACCTGACGAGAATAGCTGTACATGGCTGGTCTTACGGTGACTACAAGTGTAACTGTTTCATTGACCTGACGAGAATAGCTGTACATGGTTGGTCTTACGGTGAGTACATGACAGACTTGATTTACCTGATGAGGCCGTAGATGACTGCTCCCATCTTGAATACAGAGATGCAAATTGGCACTTGCCCACTTTCCTCTTCCAGTCTTTTGCTTTTGGGGGCCTCTAGGGGTCATCCTTATATGATATCACGTTTGAGGCTAGTGAGGTCAAGAATCATCACTGTGGGTACATGACAGATTTCACTGTACTATTTAGGGGGCAGAATAGCCTACATTGCTGGTCTTATGGCAGGGTCAATAATCAACTTCATGGACCTTGTAATTTCATGGACACTTCAGAAAATCCTGCCATCACGAAATCCCCTCATTCTCTAGGGACTGTGATGTAGGGATTATAATAATCTAATAATAATTTATAAATTTATAATTTATAATTTATATACCGCTCTTATCCAGATACTAGTAACGGACCAAATGTGGTTTATTGTTCCCCAACCAGTGGATCTGTATGCATTCCAGTTATCATTCTCAACTCCCTGGGGAGTATGCAACCCAAGCTGCCGATGAGGCACATATCGGGTACCCATTCCATGCTGGGTGAACAGGCACATTTGAACAAAGTGACTAGCCCAGGGTGACTTCACACGTTTTGACTCTTGTGTCTTGGAGTGTATGAGTGTATACCTGTTTCCACCATCTGGTCATCTGTCGTTGAATGAGTGGGTTCTTTTGAGCGCACAGGGTTATGTGAGTGAGTGAGTGAGTTTATGCTTTACGTCACATCGGCAATATTTCAGCCATATCGTGAGTCATGGTGTATGTACTGTACACTAGGGGTAGTGACAACACTGTAAGGACCTGTAAACAGTGTTGGTCCCAAGGCTGAATAACAACCCGGTCACTAGCGGGATACGATCTCAGCATCTGGCGCTTGCTAGCTTAGCACTTTAGCCGCTTGCCCTATCAGTGTGAAAGAATCATCCTATTGGGATGCAGTTTTCTGTTTTGATCTTTTTATGTTTTTATTGAGCTGCCTGCTGAAGGTTTGTGTGACTAACATGTGTCTGTGTCATTCCAGGTGGGTACTTGGCGCTCATGGGGCTGGCTCAGAGGCCTGATATCTTCAAGGTAACGTCACATTCTACTTGCAGCTGACACGCCGTGATATAACTGGAATACTGTTTAAAGAGGCATAAAACCAAACTGACCTACTCACTCCTTCAACAATATTAAACCAACTCACATACTTAAGATGAACTTTACCAGTACAGTCATCACCTTGTGGCAGCAGTTTCTAATAAATTCTTACAAAGAAGATTTGCAAATATTTGTTTCAAATCAATTTAATTTAATTGATGCGTTATGAACTATATTCCTTACAAAAATTGGGAACCATAGTTTATAGTTTCTTGTAACTAACACATGATGATATTTGTATGTGTGACAATGATTATTACTGCTGATGTGTGTGTGGTGTGTACAGGCGGCTATAGCAGGTGCCCCCGTGGTCAACTGGATCCTGTACGACACAGGCTACACCGAGCGCTACCTGGACGTCCCACAGGCCAACAAGGACGGCTACACGAACGGCTCCGTCCTCAGCTACATAGACAGGTTCCCAGATGAGTGAGTATGGAGTATGTGTAGAACTATGTGGGAAGGTTTCTCTTCTCCACTGCCCAGAGTTGCCTCCCCTTACCATCAAGGATCCGCTGGTCATGTGTCTTCTTTTCTTACTTGATTGAATATGTCATTTACATAGTCCAACCAAACATTTATGCATACTGTGAATCAGACGACATTTAATATTTACTTCTGCCTTGCACAGTTTGTTTTTTAAAATAAATAGAATCCACCTCATAATTATGAACATTTTTTATGCCAATATACCCTGTCTGGCGCTCGGCATTAAGGGGCTAAAACAAGGACTGGTCGGCTCGGAGTCAGTATACTGTGTCTGAGTGGGATATTCATGTTAAACTGTGGCATGGTATCTCAGTGGGCTAGCACTATAAATCGGCATCAGTCCGGTCTAGTACAAGCAGCCACACACACACACACACACACACACACGTGTATGCACGTCGCTATATAAGTGCAATAATCTTGGACGCGACGTTAAACCCAATTTCACCTCACCTCACCCATATATTGGCAGTGATAGTAACCTAGTGGTTGCCGGGATGTAGATTGATGTAGCTGACTTAGTGATGTGTTTTTCAGAGAGAATCGCCTCCTCATCATACACGGCCTGATCGACGAGAACGTCCACTTCCACCACACCAGTCACCTGGTCAACGCACTGGTCAAGGCCTGCAAACCCTACCAGCTCCAGGTCAGTTGGCTTTAGAACCTACCGTATTCGACGTAATAAGGGCCCAGGGCGCTTTCAAAATTAGAAATAGGGGGCTCTTATTAGAATATTATTTTGGTGAAAAAAACTTAAAAGATTGCGTGGTTTATTCTGACAGCCTGAAATGCTTATATGCTGCAGATATATTTTTCCAGAATTTAATTGCCCGTAATTAAGGGTGCATATAACACTCCAGTGCGTATTATACGCGAATGAAAAAGTCTTGTGTGCATTGATCAATCGGAAGGGGTGCTAATTTGGAACGTTCACTAGCCAATATATTAGCAAATATCGCTGTGGGCGCTTATTACGTCGAATACGGTATGTTAGAATTCTGGGTTCGATGGCGTGGATCATTTTGGTCATAAAATTAACTTACTTAATTGTCTGCAGACTCAATTATTTTGCTGGAATATTTGGAATATTTGCTTAGTGGGTAGATAAACTTGTTTGTTGTTTAATGCCGCACTCAGCAATATTCCAGCTATGTGACTTCAATTTGTAGATAATCAAGTAAATAATTGATTGACATCATGAGCATCGATCCACGCAATTGGGATACGATGACATGCATCAAACCAAGTCAGTGAGTCTGACTACCCGATCCCTCTTTGAATTTTACAACAAGCATGGGTTGCTACAGGACTTTCTGTTTCAAGGTTGCCTTGCATTAGACATGGGTGATTGAGTGAGTTGGGTTTAACGCCGCTTTTAACAGTATTCCAGTTATATCACGGCGTGTCAGCTTAATGTGGGAGGAAAGCCCGAAGTGATGCAGGTCTTAGACGTTTACTACTTCAGTGAAACCCACAAGCACGGGTATGGTGCTGACAAACCTAGAAACATAATCGGGCGAACCGGGATTTGAACCCACAATCATAGGATTCTGGCGTGCCCATTGGACAACTCTGTACAACGAATCGCGGCGCCTTAGACGACTGGGCCCCTCGTGCCCCCCATTAGGCATGTGTTTATGCAAATTGGAAGAGATGTCGTTAAACCAGAAGTGCATCTGACTTCCTTATTAAGGTCACTCTGCGATTCGCTGTGCAGAATTGCGTCCCTTGGGTATGCCAGAAACCTATGATTGTGGGTTCAAATCCCGGTTCGCCCCGATTATGTTTCTAGGTTTGTCAGCACCATACCCGTGCTCGTGGGTTTCACCGAAGTGGTAAACGTCCGAGACCTGCATTAATTCCTCCCACATTAAGCTGACACACCGTGATATAACTGGAATAATGTTAAAAGCGGCGTTAAACCCAACTCACTCACTCACTTATCAAGGTCACTACAAGCATAGGATTTCTGTATTCAAGTTGTCTTGTCATGAGACATGTGTTTCCCATGCTGGAAGTGTAATCATAAATCTAGGAGTTCATGTAACTCTCTTGAACCCTTTCAGGTGTACCCAAACGAGCGACACGGAATACGTAGTCATGAATCCAGTGAACACTACAAGACAATGGTTCTCAGCTTCCTGCAGAACAACCTGTGAAGAACACGGCGCCACAGCCAGGAATCTAGTGACATGGGCCACAGTCGGCCTGTCTGTGTACAGAGATCCCAATGGGGACTACAAACACCTTGGAGAAAATTGTCTTTTCCTTTAAATTTGACGGTTATATTTGTCACTAATTTATATAATAGTTGTGCCAACTGCATGGGAAATTTCTTGTTGACTGTTTTATATGATCTACCTTTATGTTCTTGCTAGGTACCAAGAACCGTTCTTAACATGTTTGCACTGAAGAGGATGAACGAATATTCATATCACATTGTCTGAAGAGTCGATCAAGTGCCATTGATGACCATCTGTGCATGTTTTAAATGCCAGAAAAGCCATATCGTTTGTTTTATATCCTAAACTGTAATTTAATTGCCTTTTCCAGATTTTCTTGAAACTATTTTCACAATCTTTACGAATTAAGGCAGATGATTCTGTGTGAAGGACATACGCAAGAGTAGAAGGATTTTATTTTTTTAAATCTTTCATTGGTAATTGGAACTCATTGGAAGTATTCATTGGAATACCGTATTCAACGCAATAAGCGCCCAGGGAACTCTCAAAATTAGAAATAGGGGGCTCTAATCAGAATAAAATTTTGTTGAAAAAAAACGGAGTTGAAAGATCGTAAATTTCGTGGTTTATGCAGACAGCCTGAAATGATACAAAAGAAAAGTCTGTGCGTATTATACACGACAGATATATTTTCCAGAATTTAATTGCCCATAATTAAGGGTGCATATAACACACGAGTACGTACTTTACGCGAATAAATCAGTCTTGTGTACATTGATCAATTGGAAGGGGTTTCTAAATGGGATTGTTCACTAGCCAATACATTAGCAAATATTGCCATGGAGCAGGACGCTTATTACGTCGAATACGGTATGCTAGATTTGAAATGTCAAGTGCCAAATATGGTAATGACAGGAAGTTAAACTTCTTGGAGAGGCATTAAGAAGATTGAGTAGTAAGTAATGAGAAGATACATGGATGAACAACTTCTTTATTACAAGTAGGAGTGATGTTTTGGTGAAGGTTCCAACACCGTTGTCATGTCAACCTCACAGCATGAAAGTTTTTGTAGAATATCTTTGAAAATACTTACTCATGATGTTATTAGCCTCACTATGTAGGGGGGGCACGGGTGGCCCAGTCGTCTAAGGCGCCGCGATTCGCTGTGCAGAGTTGCGTCCCTTGGGCACGCCAGAAACCTATGATTGTGGGTTCGAATCCTGGTTCGCCCTGATTATGTTTCTAGGTTTGTCAGCACCATACCCGTGCTCGTGGGTTTCACCGAAGTAGTAAACGTCTGAGACCTGCATCACTTCTGGCTTTCCTCCCACATTAAGCTGACACGCCACGATATAACTGGAATACTGTTAAAAGCGGCGTTAAACCCAACTCACTCACTCACTCACGATGTAGATTGGATATGTTTCACGTTTGAAAAGTTTGTGTCACTGTGAGATCAATGCTTAGGCGATGTGAGTTACGATGTTAAAAGTTACAACTATAGAGGGTCACTAGATTCATATACAGGCGACTTAATGGAGCAGGTGGTCTGACTCCGTGACTTACTTGGTGGCGTGTCAACATACCCTGCTTCTTGGAACATTGCTCAGGGGCGGTCGGGTAGCCTTGTGGTTAACGCGTTCGTTTGTTACGCCGAAGACCCCGGTTCGATTCCCAACATGGGTACGATGTGTGATGCCCATTTCTGGTGCCCCCTGCCGTGATGTCGCTGGAATATTGCTAAAAGCGGCGTAAAATCAAACTCACTGACTCACTGGAACATTGCTCATAACATTAACTGACTGGATTGTCTGATAGCCAGATTCAAATACTATAGGGTCTTAACGACACCTTGATTGCCTTTAATTTTAAGCACTGATTATGTGATTGGGTTGGATCGCATCGGATCGCATCGGACCTTTGTACCATCTCTACAGTTTCAAGTCATGGTTGTAGTTATTCGGCATATACATGCTTGCCGTTAAAAGGTGACTATGCTTGTCGTAAGAGCGACTAACGGGATCGGGTGGTCAGGCTCGCTGACTTGGTTGATGCATGTCATCGTATCCCAATTGCGTGGATCGATGCTCATGATGTCAGTCACTGGATTGTCTGGTCTAGACTCGATTATTACACTAAACAAACAACACATGAATCCGTCAGCATGTTCAAGAGCACATGAGCAGGTTCAGCTGCATGCTGTACACTTGTGAACCGCACCAGACCACCGTCATATAGCTGGAATATTGCTGACAGCAAACAAAATAAAAAAAATGCAAGGCATATCAGATAACGGTAACTGGTTCCAAGGGTCATGTTTTGTTCCAACAGATACGGTGTTTGTTGATGCAATCTGTGTTTGACAATCAAGTCTACCTTTCAAGATCGATGCTCATGATATCAATCACTGGATTGTCCTGTCCAGACTCGCTTGTTCACTGACCACCGTCATATAGCTGGACTACTGCTGAGTGCGGTGTTAAACTACAAACAAACAAACACAACCAACAAGCATTGAATATTTCATGCACACTTGTAAGTCCGAGATGAGAGACTGGAGTTACCTCCCTTGGTGTTAAGTCGACATTTCTCCATGCAGAGCGAACAGTTATGGATCATTGGGAATCAGATGGGGTCACAGGTTGAATGTTTATTACTTGAAATATATTTTGAAGTGAAGGTTGATTCCCGCTCTGAAAATGAAGGATAACTGACAAATATTTGGTCATATTGTACTGTCAGTTTTCAATTACAATCTGCCCTCTGAGATATTTATGTAAATTTTTCTCTTTGAAAAAACAGCCCATGCTAAGCTGTAATTCATTTTTTGAACAGTCTTCATATATACAGTAACAAGAAAGTAACAATTTCATATTTTGAAATTAGTTTTTTTGTTCGTGTAAAAATTCATTTTCTTCGTGTTTGATCTTTGAAATAATAGGACAGTGATACAGTTAGGTTTTAACAAATTGCTTCAAACATCGGAAAGATGGTTGTCTCTTGTGTTCACTTTAATGGTTTGCCATGCATTTTAAGGTTAAAGTTGCAAGCGTTTTAACATGATTGTCGTTAGACTTAATTGTGATACATCATCCTGTTATCATAATTTTAACATTACTATTATTTTACGTTTGTGTTGATTAGTTGTGAGGTGAATAGCACATGTTGACAGCTGTGGGGGCAGCTAGGTCTAGTTGGCATAGCAACCAGTCAGGTGGATGGGTAGGACCAAGGGGCTCAAACATCACATTGATGGCCATACCAATAAAATTTGATATTTATTTTATGAAAAAAATGAGCATTTGATGCACAACTATAATATTAGAAAGAACCAAATTGTGGGTGGATGGGGCTCTTGGAATACGTAGATGTGAGTTCAGGTGAGGAGGATTTATTTGGGGATGGTCCTGACGAGGAAATTTTTTTCCCTCATCTTCCATCCTCTCGTCATCAGCCTGTGTTAAAGCATAGAGTTACTATCATCTTAGTACTACAGTCACGTTTTGGGGGTGGTCCTTTGAAGTAGGCTTGAAACAGACTATTTTGCTGCTCATGTTAACACTGAAGTGACTGTTTCTAAGCCATCATGGTTGGTGGTAATTTTGTTTAATCCTCCAGGCCCCCCACTCAACAAAGTGATCATAGTGTACGTCTGTCGTAAATCTATGTTAAAGTATGGCAGTTATGATCATCTTAGCGCTACGACAGTAGTAAATTTATGTTAAAGAATGGGAGTTACGATCGCCTTTAACACTACAACTGTCATAAGTCTATGTGGACGTATTAGAGTTACGATCGCCTTAGCGCTACAACAGTCGTAAACTTATGTTAAAGTATGGGAGTTATGATCAACTTAGCGCTACAGTTGATTTGCATAATGGGACCTTGACCATTTGTGTCCTTATGCTAAGTCTTGTCAAACTAACTTTCTTCTTTCTCACACCCAAATGGCATTGTTTATGTTTAAGTACTATTACAAAATGACTTGTACAGCTGAATTTCATTTTTGAACATTATTCTGAATTATTGCACATACCATGCCTTTTTATATTGGTCAGGGCCCCGTTCCATAACGCTACCTTTGCGCTACAACTATCGTAAAAAGTATCCTATGTTAAAGTTTGGGAGTTCCGATCAACTTAGTGCCACAGTCACTTTGCGGAATGCAGCCCAGTAACATGGTCAATATGCCCCCAGGATTCACGTTGTACATTGGTCTAGCTTTCATTTATGTATTGGAGAAAACACACTCACGAGGGTTTGGTAGACAGAGCATGCCCTGGGGAGAGGGAAAAACCACGGGGGCGAAGCCCCAGCGGTTTTTCCCAACCCCCAGGGCATGCTCTGTCTACCAAAACCGAGGGAAAGTGTTTTTCCATGCTTATAAACCGAAAAAAGAAACTTAAAACAACATTTATCAACATTTTTATGTTTCGAACATACTTTCCATGAACCTTAGGAAACATGCGTAAAATATCTGTTGCTGGCATACGGATCTTGAAAAGGACATTCTAAAAACCAGTGAGGCTCATCAACACCTCTGTAGCCTTGTGGTACACTCACTGGGCTACAGATATGAAGGTTGCGAGTTCGATCCTCGGGAATATAAAGAAAACATTTGTCATTTGATTTTACATTTCATTACATGTTACAATCTGAAGGGAAGTTATATTAATAAAATACCCAGGACATTATATAAAATCCCAGGGACATTACAACGTCCCTGTTTATGAGATTTAACCCGACTGGAAAGTAAATCCTCACAATAGGTCTTAATGCCAATAGAAAGAAGTCTCTTACTTAATAGCGATCCCAATGAATAGGTTTATAAGAATTTGTAACATGCAAAGGAATTGAAAAGAAAATCCACCTCCCTACCCAGTCAGATTTGAAAAGAGATATTTCTTTACATGGCCTAATGAGCATGGAGATGACATGGCCTACCCTTGTTATGGTCTGTCAATTTGATGTATTCAACTAATAAGTATTTCATACAGACATTTCAAACGTGGCGAAACTGAAATATCTGTGTTTCTAATATGATTGATATTATATGAATTCTTTTATTGGCATTGCTAAGAAATTGACGGATGACAAAGTAACCAAAGACTTTTGGTTAACAACTTCTGTATCATACTGTTCCTGTAATAGCGGCGTATGACACAGGATAATATAGAAGTTGTTATCTATTCTACCCCGGAATCTTCACGGGTCGATAATAATATAGATGTTGTTATCGACCCGTGAAGATTCCGGGGTAAAATAGGTCTTCAGGAACCCATGCCTGCCGTAAAAGGCAACTATGCTTGTCGTAAAAGGCGACTAACGGGATCGGGTGGTCAGGCTCACTGACTTGGTTGATACATGTCATCGATCCCAATTTCGCTGATCAATGCTCATGATGTCAATCACTGGATTGTCTGGTCCAGACTAGATTATTTACAGACCGCCGTCATATAGCTGGAATATTGCTGAGTGCGGCGTAAAACAACAAACAAAACAACAGCAAAAAGAAGTTGTTATCCAAAAATGTTTGGCTGCTTTGCAATTCATGTTCTGCTTGTTGAGTGTTCACAGTTCACAGAAGTGTCAGGGCATTGTGCAAGAGTTGACACCCCGATATGAGATATGATACACGTATGTGCCGTTTCATGTTGTAGTTTTTGTCGATTTGGAAAAAGTATCTATTACAAAGTTTTTTCAATAACCAAGCCTGAGTACTAAGTTAAAGTAACCAAATCACTGATCACAAACATAAGATGCTAAGTCTGATTGGGTGATCCTGGTATAATCCATACAATCTTGGACTCGTGACGACCCGGGTTAGAACAGGTCTTCAGCAACCCATGGGGGCGGTCGGGTAGCCTAGTGGTTAAAGCGTTCGCTCGTCACGCCGAAGACCCGGGTTTGAATCCCGACATAGGTACTATGTGTGAAGCCCATTTCTGGTGTCCCCCGCCGTGATATTGCTGGAATATTGCTAAAAGCGGTGTAAAACCAAACTCAGTCATTCGGCAACCCATGCTTGTCATAAGAGGCAACTAACGGGATCTGGTGGTCAGGCTCACTGACTTACTTGATGCATGTCATCATATCCCAATCGCGTGGATGGATGCTCATGATGTCAATCACATGATTGTCAGATCCAGACTGGATTATTTATAGACTGCTGTCATATAGCTGGAATATTGCTGAGTGCGCTGTAAAAACAACAAAGAAACAAAGAATACGATCTTAGTG